GGGGAAATTGTCTGGACGATTGCTTGTAAATCTGATTTTTGTGATGAGCGGGATACAAAGGCCATTTTGGATGCGTTGGATGTGGTGCTAGAAAGGCTAGTTGAGGATAAGGAGGCACAGACTATTGTGTCGACTGGTGATGGAGTTTCCATCTGTGGGTTACCGCCTTTTCGGACGCAGAGCGTGCAGACGAAGAAATCGATTTCTCAGGATCCAACAGAGCAAAGAGATACGGCGTGGTCGCAAGTGGAAGTCAAGATCAGGGGTGCGCTACACGAATTATCTGGAGTTCCCGAGGATGCCATACGTCAGGATTTAACGATCTTCCATCTCGGGCTCGACTCGATTCTGGTTCTCAAACTCCCTGCTCTGTTCCGCAAATCAGGGATTAAGCTCAGTGTTTCTGATATCTTGAGAGAGCAAACTGTTCAGGCCATGGCGAAACTTGCTGAAAGTAAGAATTTCCAGGATGAGGTAGCTGTTGATGTGGACCAAATCATTGGAGATGCAGTGGAAAGAGTCAAATTCGAGAGTGGAGGTGCAAAGTTAGAGGAGCTGAGAGAATCTGGTGCCGCTGAAGATGTCATGCCGGTTACTGCCGGACAGCTTCATATGATTCGACAATGGCAGGCTTCGAGAGGGAGATTGTTTTACCCGACTTTTAGCTACCAGATCTCTGGAACGCTTGATAAAGTCGCATTGGAACAAGCTTGGGGGAAGCTGTGTGATAGACATGCGATTCTCCGAACTGGGTTTATTGAAGTTGGAGATTCTGTCCTCCAAGTCGTGTTCAAAGACCCAGACAATCCAGTGCAATACGAAGAATCAAGCGTATCACACGACTTGATCAACCCACCTCTAACTCTCACGATCCAGAACAACAACAATAAACCTCTCATGAAACTCCGCATCCACCACGCTCTCTACGACGGCATCAGTCTCCCCATCCTCCTCGACGATCTCCACTCCCTCTACGTCAACATCAACCACGCTTTCCCACAACCAACCTCAAACTTCAAACAATTCATCGCCCAAACTCTCACATCCTCCAGCACCACCCAAGAAAAATGGCAATCCTACCTCTCCTCCGCCCCTCCCAAAACCCGCACCAAAGCGCGACACTCTAATAGAACAGAAATATACCATCCTTCTCTCCCCATTTCATCCTTAAAACCCCGAGCCAGGGAACTAGGTATCTCAATCGACGCTCTCCTTCTAGCCTCGGTAGCTAAAAAATACGCCCATCACGCTCACACTGCCGAAAATCTGATATTGGGGATCTACCTAGCGAACCGCGCGCCCTTCGGTGAGGACCTCTCTAGCCTAGCGGCGCCGACGTTGAATCTACTACCCCTCCTCATCAATGACCCATTAGGTCGAAGTGTAGGAGATCTGGCGAGGGAGATTCAACATGATGTCACGCGAATCAGTAATAAAGATATGATTGGCGCATCTCTAGACGAAATCTACAACTGGACTGGTGTAAAAGTTGAGGGGTTCGTTAACATCGTCAAATCCCCCGCTCAGATTCCTACGGAGTCTAAACCTGTGTGGGAGAGTATTGATGAAAATGGTGATGGTGCCGGGGAAGTCGAGGTTAGAACTGATGAGAAGTTTCCGGATGTTGATGAGAGTAAGGTTGAGGCGTATCCCGTAAGTTCGTCCTATAATGAAATATTGGTTGAAGTATGAAGTCTGATAATTAAACAGGAGACTCTGGATATCGAACTGAGATATCATGATTTTGAGGGAGAGGCGAAGATTGATATTGGTGTTTTTGCGCCGGGGAACAGGATTTGTTTGGAGGATGGGGAGGAGTTTGTTAGGGGGTTTGTGGGTGGTTTTTGAGATCGATTTTTGGTTTTTTAGGTCGTTTGTTTGAGTTATTTCTGCGTTAGATCGTTGTGGTATTGTGAGTAGGTTTTATGAGTTTATAGAGCTGGTTTATTTTTGATCGAGAAGGCAGATAGATTGGTTTTCTTGGAATTTTGAGTATGTTTAATTCTCCTGTTATGCAACCAAGCATTATGCTTTGGCTCGTGAGGTACGACACAGGTGGCATCACATTTATTCGATCATTCTAATAAGATTCTTATTCCTCGTCTATTGTCTTATAGAAACATAAGGGTTATAACGTCTGTGTAAATTGAATCAAAGATCATAAGTTGCGCCTACTCTGAAAATCAAACCTGCTGTCAAGAACGTTCTACTTATTTCAGGTCTGCTATCTGTTTCTATAATCACACACAATCCTGACATGATAACCTCGGAAAAGAGTCTGTGCATGATCTTCCGATTCGAACTGACATGATGCGGATGACGAATGTTCTTCGCATCATATGATTCTCGTGTGATCGACGTAAGGAAGCTTGTCTTGTTCCCACTGCACCTTCTGTCTTCCATAGACTTATTTATATACCCTTTTCTTTCAAATCTTTCTTAGAATAACACAACCCTTTAATATTTATCTCTAACCTTCCATCGTACGCCGAATACGCTTTCCTCCGCCAGTGCGTCAAGAGTTCCGGGCCCCGGATCTCGCTAAAACCCCCGTTTCAGCACCCTGACACAGCGCCAAGCCTGGGACGCTCAGCGCCCTATCAAGCTGGTGAAGCATTGTTTCACAGAGAGCTTGTTTCACGCAACACCTTGTCGTCGGGGCTTTGGGTCGGTGTTCGTACGTCCGGAAAGCTTGTTTGTGTGGGAGAGATCGGGAAGGGTTTGGTGTGGTGTGGTTGGGTGAGGATGAGGTTGAAGATGGGGATGGATTGTTGGGTTTTGAAGGGTAAGAGAATACTGGAAATAATTTGATTCTGTGATAAGGATAATTCTGAGTCTAAGTTTTCAACCTCAGAATCGCGATGGTTTCCTCCTCAGAATCCATCACGATAATACAACCCTTTAGATCAAGCTTCGCATAGGTCTCGAACTTGCGACCTCGAGAGGCCACAAACATGGCAGCTCAATTCTCCGAAAGCAAACAACGCGAACAAGCAATGAGGCGTGTTTCAATCAAGGGTTGTGCAAGCCATGAAGAAACAAACGCAAAGTGACGAATCCGGGCGTGAAGATCTTTAACGCTTGGCATGCGCCTTGTTTCTGCGTCTCACGGGTATTACTTGGTGGTCTAGATTTGATATACTTAGCCTCGATGAAATTCAATGATACTGATGCTTGATTGGGCCAGTTGAGGAAATACAAAGAGTAAATTCTGCCAGGCTATCTGAAGAGCCTTATGATACGTACAGCTGGCACATATAAACGAATAAGATCGATTACGATTGATCAATTCATGCGTTACTCTCTGATATGCCAACGGAAGGAGATATAAACGTTCACCAGCCGGGGAGAAGCGGTGATCCTTCGCTAAAGATGCCTGGTGAGCATAAACTTTTTCAATTTAAATGAAATACATCAGCCATAGACATACAATTGAAGGCTTTCAACGCAGCTTATGGTTGAATAGTCTTTTTGAAGTGATATGTCTCCTATTGATAAACAACATAGATAAAGGTTATAGAGAGAGAAGAGAAGAATTGCGTGTACACAAGACCCATACTCCAGCGGGTGGCCTAACCGCCTCAAGTTAGGCGAGAGCCCCACTTTAACCCCTGAACCACTGCACTCAACATCCCTTCCTGAAGACCTTCCCTTTTCTCTTTCTTTGAAACAAGCGCCTACTCTCCACGTCAGCAACATCCACCGACCAACATAACAATCGCCTTTTCTAGAGGCCGGAAGGCTCCTTGTTCGGAGGCGTACCCGTAACTTGAAAGCTTTGTTCTGACTCGATTCTGAAAGCCCTTTCTGGCCTGTCGGTTGGAGGTATAAGGTTTGCTTGCAACAAGAACCACAAGGTATACGTATCGAACTAGAAAATGCCTACGCAGTATCGTGGATCTATCCCGTTCCGCTCTGTGGAACGTAGCATCAGTTTGCCAATTGTCGTCTGGCAACACAGACAAGAGCCTCCAGGTTATCCCAACCTGAGCATTGCTTTCATAACGCATATCCGTGGCTTGCAGAAATCGAGGCTCAACAACATAATTCACAACACAGCCAGGTACCTGTACAACCAACGTATAGAAATATCAGTGGCTGTGGATCGTCCCGGGAAGGCGCCACCAAACCACTGCCGTAGAACCTTGAAGCGCATTGATCTCGCTTCCCCACCATCATGCTGCACTTCATGTCTGGGCTACAGATGGGTTCCGGCCGCTCACCTCCCTCGCTCGGATATATCCTTGCTAGCTGTGCCAAGTTGTTACCTATAGAAGGGTTGGGTGGACTTCATGCGTATACATTCTCTTCAAGCCGCGTGTTGTACTTCTCGTTTCCTTTCTTTATCAAGCTGTTCCTCTTGAACAGCACTTTTGTTTCTCCTTTTTTCTTCGTTGCTCTTCGTTGCTGTTCAATTCTCTCTTTCCATTTTCTACTTGGGGCCGGCTTCCATTTCCATACACCGTTTCGACAGGTTACTCTACCAACTCATATTCCATCATCAGAGGTTCTGCGAACTACCATTCCTTACGAAAACCTACCACCTGGTGTGGATATCAAAACGAAGTTCCATTTCGAATACCGCCACGATGCATTCCTCATTACACGCAATATTTCTCTTGGCTTTGGTCACATTAGCACTTGCTGCTCCAAGAAATGCACCAATCCAAAAACGAGGCGTCTTCAAGGTTGAGCGAGTCCCAAATCCAAACTTCAAAAGATCCCCAGGAGCTGGAACTAGAGCCTTGATCAAGGCACACCGAAAGTACAGCGTTCCTTTACCAGAAGGACTTGTTGCTGCTATGAACGCAGCAAATGCCGCCAACGCAGCGAGCGCACCAAAGTCGAACTCCGCGTTGACCGGCGAGACAGCCAAAAAGGGCGCCAAGGGAAATGCAAAGGCATCTGGAACCGCAGTGGCTGCAGCTCCATTGGCTTCTGCAAGTGGAGGTGTCGCTGCTAAGGCCAACGGAACCGCAGGTACAGGAAAGGTCACAGCAACTCCAATCAATGGAGATGTAGAGTATCTATCTCCAGTCAACATTGGTGGACAGACTCTCAACCTCGACTTTGACAGTGGATCATCCGATCTCTGGGTCTTCAACTCTCAACTCTCAACCGCATCCCAAACCGGCCACACCGTCTTCAACGTCGCCAAATCGCAAACCCTCCAAATGATGACCGGAGCCACCTACTCCATCTCCTACGGAGACGGATCCGGATCAGCAGGAAACGTCGGCACTGACACCGTCAACATCGGCGGTGCAACAGTTACCTCGCAAGCCATCGAACTCGCCACCGCCGTCTCAGCCTCCTTCGTCGAAGACACCGCCTCCAACGGCCTCGTCGGTCTCGCCTTCTCCAAACTCAACACCGTGAAACCCACCCAGCAAAAGACCTTCTTCGACAACGCCATGCCCAACCTCGCCGAGCCCGTCTTCACCGCCGATCTCCGCTCCAACGCCGTCGGCGCCTACGAGTTCGGCGCTATCGATACGTCCAAGTTCAACGGTACCATGCAATGGGCTGCTGTCAACACCACGAATGGATTCTGGCAGTTCTCATCTGAGAAATTCCAGGTTGGCGATGCGACGCCCATGGCTGTTCCAGGTGGTCAGGCTATCGCTGATACCGGAACTACTCTTATGCTTACCAGTGCTGCTGTCGTCAACGCCTACTACGCGAACGTGCAGGGTGCAGTTAACGATCAGCAAGTCGGTGGTGTGACATTCCCATGTAATTCTCAACTTCCTGATTTGCAATTCGATGTTGGAGGATCGTTCATGGCGAATGTCAAGGGTTCTGATATCAACTTCGCTCCTGTTGATAATGCTGGTACTAGTAAGTCTTCCCCTCTCTCCATTCTTGAAATCAATCGCTGACATTTATTTTAGCTTGCTTCGGTGGTGTCCAAGCTATCCAGTCCAACCTCCAAATCTACGGAGACATCATGTTTAAATCTCAGTTCGTCGCTTTCAATGGCGGGAACAACTCTATTGGGATGGCTCCTCACCAGTAGATGGGATCTCCTTTTTCTTTCTTTCATCTGCTTAGAATATGTAAATAGTATATAAGTTTCTTTTTGATGATGTGATGTCTGTGTGCTCGAGTCAAATAGACGGTGGAGTAGAAGATGATGAATATTTGGTGATAGCGGGGCGGGTTGTCGCTTAGAAAAGAAGTAGGTAAATCGAAATCAAAGATGATAACAACCGGGGTCATTAAGTAACTAAGACGATAATGAGAATTGCAGATAATCTAAACAATAGTGCATAATGTCATAACAAATGTTCACTTAAATGTGTAAATTCAAAGTCATTTCCATTGTGAAACGGCAAGCGCCTGATTTTACCCCCTAGATTGAACTCAATGTAAGTCCTACGGAGAATGTTTATCCAAGTAACATCTGGACCTATCTCTTTTTGTCTCTATACGTGGTCCGTCTGGGTGAGTTGGATTGTTTAATAGTACGAAAATCTGTCGACTAGATCGTTGAAGTATTTTATTTCGTCAAACATTTCAGGAATCAAAGATTTCTCCTCTGCTATTCAACGCAATAGCGTTTTTGTTGATTACTCTGGAAAAATAGAACAAGTCAAAAGCGAATGCAAATTTAAATTTTTCATTTCAGTAATAAAGCTTCTTGACCAATGTACCTTGAAAATTACTCCTCAATTCTCTCCACTAAGATGGAGATGACATCTTATGACGGTCAAGACGACGAGTATCATGTGTTATGTGCTACGCAGTCTGCGAGCGTACATGTAGAAAGCAATCGTACTAGTTAAAGCAACCCGAGCTTCTGTCAAAGATCTGCGTAAATGTCAGGAATATGGACCAGAAAAACTAATTATCTAGGTTGATTAGATACTTACCAGACACTATACGCGACATAGTACGCAGTTCCCCGTCCTCTGATAACATGGCTTCCATGCGATCGATGCGTTCCGCAATGCCATCTTGAGTGGTTGTGAGTTTGTTTTGTAGATGCTCGTTGCCCTCAAAGGACAAGATATCTCGGAAGCTGTCTGCATTTGCCTGCAGAATGGAGAGATCGCGCACGTCGTCATCATACGTAGCAGCCAGCGCGTGGAGGGCAGAAGCTAGGTCGTCCCACGTATCTTCATGCTCTTCAGCTGTGTATTCTTTGCTGTGAACATCTCGGTACTCATCCCATGCGGCAACTGTGTCTGTAATTAGATTCTGCTTATGTTGCAGAGCTGATGCGGCCTCAGATAGTAAAGAATTTGATATCTGCAGTGCGTCTACGGTGAATTCGGCAACTCTAGTTAATTCGCTCGCAGTCTTTGAGGTACTCTCAAGTTTCTGCGTTGTTCGATCGTGCTCTTCCTGTGATACAGTAGCGAACAGCTCCTGTGAGAGTGCACTTGATTTAGAGTTGTGCCGACGTTTTTTCTGTAGTTTTTCGCGTTGACCAGATCTTGAATGAAGACCAGGGGGTGGCGTGTACTCGTTATAAGTGGGAGTTGGAGACGGAGCATCTGTAGGATGTGTGGTTGGTGATATTTGCATACTCATTGTATTGGAATTACCGGTCTTGAATTGAGTGGTCTGTGAAGTACTCGAAGACGGACGGGAAGCGCCCGCTTGTGCAAGCTGATAAATTCTTATCGATCTGCGGTGATATGGATGATTGGATATACCGACGTGTTGGGTGGAAGCAATGAACCTTGGAAACGTCAACGGCAACTTTCTTAGAGAGAATTGTGTTGTAGTGTGAACGTAATTAGAAAAGTGCGGAAAGTAAACAGCTATGATGATAGTGGGGCGGGTTGTCGCTTCAAGAAGCGTGTAGATCGATATCGAAGGTGAAACAACCACGAATAATAGGTAGGTAAAGACGACAATGAGGAGCCCAAACTATGTAGACAATAGTGCATAATGTCACAATAAAATGTCTCTTCAATGTGTAAATTCAAAGGCTTGTTCTACAAGACTCATCCAGGGATGAGTCTTTGCACCTAACGTCATGCTGGGAGCGGTCGGCACTGAGATGTACTTCATCAAGGGTAGTTCGTAGATAACCATTGCGGGATCGTACTCGCGCACTCAGGAGGATGATTGACGCTGGGTAGAGTAGTTTGCCTGACAAATGATAACATATCTTTGCCATTGACGAAGCGAGTTCAAGTTGGTTTGTAGGCCACGATATCTGCTCGCCCAGCAGAAAATGCAGACAGCGGCAGTATAAATGACTATGGATGTCGCTGCGAAACTCCATACTTGGAATCTCTCCTCCCAAGTTTTTCGACCGACATATGACTCAAGAAGTTTTGATACTATATGCTTGGTTGAATATCACTTGATCCAAGCTAACGTGCTTTCTTTCTGTGGTGGAAATGTCTTGAAAATGCCATAGAAGTAAAAATCACCTTCAATTGAGCTATTAGAAAGTTCAGATTTCGAACCCACTCAACGAGGGGTGTTTACCCAAATCAATTGACGAAGCACAACATATTAAGTCAATTTGATCCACTAAATGTATGGCATTTCTCAAATTGATTGACTAAATTTCATATTGGCTGCCACTTATCTCGTCCACCACAAGCTTCCAAAGCTGCAAATATAGCAGGACTCGTCACCTGGGCACCCCCCTTTCGCTTATAAGCGAAGTATCACGTGTCCAGAAAACCACGCTAGTGCGATATATATTCCCGGTGCTCTCGCACTCTCTTCAAACTTTAGCCACGTATTTCCAAGAACTCTGGAGATCGTCGAGTTCCCTTAATTGGGTAACTCTTCGATCTCCAGCAATTGTTTTTCAAAAATCAGGCAATGCCAATTCGTTTTCAGTGCTAACCACACATTGTTTACGATCCTTGCGAGCTTTCCCTTCTGCCGCAGCCACAATTGCCAACCAAAAACAACATTACCATCGCAACCTACGCACCACTATCCTCACAAGATCAGAAACTCTCAGTCAAGATTGCATATGAGCGTAGCTCATGCCCAAGGGCTCCTGAGTAGGTGTTCTGATAGTGAGGCGGAGACGGACGATGAAGAAAGATGGATTCTTCGAAGCAAGAGATGTCAATTAAGTGTTCATTCTGCAAAGCACATAGATCCCCGATCTGTCTAATGGCGACCGTCCTTTTTCGGTAGTCGGAACATCAACTGATAGCTGAGAGAAGAAAAAAGTCCTGATGTACCACACATCAACCCGCAATTGGTTATCTACGATCCGTTTTTACGGTGCCCATCGTCCGTTGCCCAGAACAATCGCCGGGCGATCTGTCCCTGGAAGAGTCTGGTGGCCCCAGCTAATTCTATTATATTTTGAAGCATCAGATTGTTCGCAATTTGCTTCATACCTACCTATTCTTATGTTGCGTTGATGTGACATCATACCTCGGTGTGTTTGTCAGTATCGCGAGTCTGTCGGTGTGAAGGTGAAGTCCTCCGCACATTTGTTGACACTCGGGTATCAATTTTCGCACTTTGAATTTTCACGACAATCACCATATTCACAACACCATCACCAAATCTCACAATATCACCGATCTTTACGCGTTTTCGCACTACCTACACGCTTGTAACCCTGAAATCACATTTCGCATTAAAAATCACTTCAAAATGTCCTGGGAGCTCATTCCGCCCGCGGAACTCAACCTCGCTGAGAATCATGAAGCCGGCGATTTCGCACCTCCTGCTCTTGCCTCTGAGGCTGGCAGCGACTCTACGCAACAATCAACCACTGATTCGGTTTCTCCAGTTCCACTTGTACATCTTGTTTCTCTTGGCATTTGTGTATGTCCCATCGGCACCGCTTACCAACCCGCTCTAGTCGTCGTCGTAGTTGCAAGACCCAAGACCGAAGCATTTATTCCTCTCGAGAAACCTCCAGTCATCGAGAGATGGCCCGAAGGAGCCCTCTCATACCCAGTCGTGTTCACCATGAACAACCAGCTTTTCTGTGGCCCAGAGTCCATCAATACCCCCGGCGGCGATGACAAGACTACCTCAGCATACAGTCTCTACCCATATATGATCGAACCAAACCGACGTAGACAGCACTCCTTCTTGGGGTCAAGAACAAGGCTGGAGAACTAGCATTGATGACGCTGCTCTTGCTTGAGTTCGACCAGAATCAACCATCCCGCATCGCAGCAGCTTTTGTTAGACCCATCACTATCCCGGACTGCATCAGTCCAGTAATTCTCCGCAGTTTTGGGGAGAATAACACTGTAGGAATCAACATCGAACAAGGGCGAAGGAGGCAGGCAGTATGGCACAAGCCCTCGATGGCCCCAATACTCTAGTCGCCGAGCGGAAAAGCCCAAAGCACAAGGAGTCCACCAATTTCAGATTTCGACGTCTCCAGCACCATTACCAATATTCGGACTCGCCCAATAACCGCTGATGACTTGCCACCCGGATTCAAGAACGATCGCATTAACATTACATTCAACCCCGAGGACAAGATGCTAGTAGCAGTCACTGTTGATCATACCCGGATTGACATCCTCGCTGATCATCCCCCTGTCCTCAGTGACGAAGGATGTAGCCGAATCGCTTCGATATTTCTCGTCAACGTCCTCAAATGCCGTCAAGACGCCAAGCCTATGGTTTTCGTGTTCATCACTCACGAGAACTTTGATTTCTGGTCTCCTCTCGACGCCAAAATCAAGCCGAAAACTACGAACAACCCCATGGGAGCTTGGATCGTTAACTCTCCAGCGCCCTGCAGCCTGAACTTGGGTAATTTACACAGCATCGCGACTCAACCTTCACATTTCGTCTCATGCTCATGCCTTCCCAGAATCTCGAATTACAGGATCCGTCGTGAAGACACGTTCTTCTGTCAATACAGCCGCTGAGGAGGAGAGCATCCAACAAAACCGCGTTCAATATTGGTAGTAACTCAAATTTCAAACCGAACTATCCTCTACTTCCTTTCCTAGCTTGCGAGTTTCACTTCTTTACACTTCTTACTTGTTGTAACATTCACGGTGCCCAGGATTGGATGATGGGCTGAATACTCGGCGTGTAACAGATTAGATCTACGTTCGTCAATTGATGTAGATCTTAGCTCTATGAAAGTGGGAGTGACATTCGAGGAAACATTGGCAAGCGGTACTAATTGAGGAGCTTTGTGTTATGTACTGTAGAAATAACAAATATAAATTCACACCGTCACTTCATCTATTTTATTTGCTCAAAGTAATAGACGAAACACAACATTTCGCCATGAGGATAGATGAAAAATCGCTGATTTCCTTAAGAGAATTAGCGAACTACAACACTTTTAATCTAATAGGCATATGTTGTATGGCAATGTAACCTATTTCGCGGAAAAGATTTACATAGTAGCGGGGTTAAGTAAGTTTCTCAAAACAGTCGACGAAATACCGATATTTAGTGGATCAACTTGGGACATTATCACATATTCCGTCAATCATTTCCAGTCAATAACAAATTCTTAAGCTCTGTCCGAAGTCGTCGTAAACGAAAACTTTTTGACGATGGAACTGCCTGCAAAATCTCTTTGGCAGGCTATAAGGTTATATGTGTCCCTGAAACTTATGTATAGAAAGTGTATCTATCCGCTACTTGCCTACTTTGGCATTGGACAATATAACCAGCAGTCAAAACACGATAGTTGCTCAAAGTAATACACGAAATATCGTCATTTCCTCAATTGTCTTGGGTAAACATTTAAATTCCACTACCACTTCTCTCCGACGCTACACCAGACCTTTACCCATGTCAGCAACTTATTCGAATCTGATGATGGAGTCTTTTGAGCGATATTGAGAATCCTGGGATTCGGTGCCATGAGAATTGGTTTGATCTGCAACCGCACCAGTGTTAGTTCATGTGTACTTCTTTGGTTTAATGCGGCGAACATCTCCAGCCACGTTCCTGGGTTGAGACCTAGCAGTCGCAGCTTCGTAAGCCTGGTTTCCATCCTGCTTCTCCGGTCCATCTCCAACGACCTTCTCTTCACCAAGGCTCCCCGAAACTATCTCCGAAGAAGGCACAAGATTGGCAACCGTCTCGGAACCGCCAGCGGTCAGAGAAATTACACTAGAACCCGCTGAATCATCATCAGTGCACGACGGCGACGGATCCAGAACGGGCGAGGCGACTCCAGAAGCGACATCCATGATGGGAAATAATTCGATTGGGCTCTCCCGGCAGACAAACACTCCTCAACTAACTACTGAACGTCTTTGACCTAACGTCATTCTGGGGAACGGTCGAGAAACCGTAGCGTTCACGCAAGACGGATCTTCGCAAACGACATTTGCAGGTGTTTGAGGTGGGGCAGTCAATGGCGATGCAGTTGTCGCAGGTTTGCTTGATGGAGATTGAGCTTATATCGTATCTTCTCGAGTAAAATGGGACTCCAGTAGTTTTGTTGTAGCCATTCCTTTGGATAGTGTAGCATAGTCCAGGTTTTGAGGTTTGGCATGAGTGGATATTGTCCGTCGTAACTGTACCAGTTGGTTTCCACCGTGATATAATGGTGACAAGACGAGACTTGTAATGGAGTCGTCTGGTGATTAGAGATGCAATATGAGTTGTGGGCGGGTACGAAAGTACGGTCCATGAACTGGACCCCAGGAGAATAGATAGAGAGGAGAATTGAATCGTGTAGATAGATCAAATTTGGCTTTGGAGGTGACATTTTTTGATGGGTACAATCGTTGGTCTAATGCTGTGAGGTGTGTCCTTTGCTCCCGCAGCCCCTCGTACTCAAAGTTCTTTTTCTTCTCATACACAAGCCAAATCCAAAGCATTCTGTCCATCGCAATTGTGCATAGATTGGAAGAGCGAGGCAGACTGGAACACGCGAACAGCTGCCCAATTCGGCCAGGAAGAGGCAAGACAGTCGATAACGAATCGATGGCATAGCCTTACTCGAAGGCATCTCTGGCAGCAATACGAGACCACTCCATCAACATGAACAGGTTGCCCAGATCAGACAGGAAGATGCAAAATGGACGACAGTGAATCGAGACCTCGATTTCCTTGTAGGTAAATCTTCGTAGGGGCGCCCGTGAACCTCGCAAATAATCACAGGTTGCTCAGATTGGATAAAAAGATGCAGAACGAAGGATAGGGAACCGACAACCCAATTACCATGGGGGTCAATCTGGGCAGCACAGTACCAGAGAGAACCCTCGTGAATGTCGACACTTTGCCTAGATTTAATTTGGAGAGCCAGAACGGTGGACGCCTACCCAGTCCATTGACATGCTTCCTTTCCCATGGTACATTGGGCAGCGCCTGAAAAGCACTCCGTGGATGTGAACAGGTTACCCAGATTGGAGAGAGAGAGGCAGAATGGTTCATATCTAGGCAGACCATCCTTAAGCTCGTTATTCTGGGTGGTGAAGTTGGGCGCTGCCAAAGGAGAGTCCCGTGAATGTGAACAGGCTGCTGAGAAGATGTGTGGAGAGGTGGTAGACAGTTATGTAATAATTCGTTGGCTTGTCGGTAAATCTTTAAATGAGCTTGAAATAATAGTAGAAATGACGACTTCGATTTCTATGGTATTTTTTTGCGCCTAAATAATGTTAGGCGGGGTAGGAAATACAGCTAGACAAGAAACTTACGATTCAACCTCCCCAGTATCAAGTACTCCCGCTCAGGTTTTACTCCCAGACCTACCACCTATCGCCATATACTTGACATCTTCAAATGCCACATGCCAGTTCTTCTACAAGTAAAAGCAAGCTTCAATAAGTTGTTCTTTGGAAATCGCCTGGAGAACACTCGATCGAGATTTCGATCATACCGCACTGCTTGTCGGTATCGAATGGGTCGCGATTCTCAACGTCATCAGAACTTTCTCAAGGGTCGGTGGAAACCGAATAAAAGACAGATATACGATTCCTGTCGTATGTTTGTGATCTGTGATTGTGTTTTATTGGCGCGCGCCTGCTGTTCTGTTTCTCGGTATGTGGGCCCACTCCGAAGAACATGAGAGATATCTTCCCCGAGCATTAGAGTGTTTGCAGTAGCTCAGAGTCTAACAACACACCGCCATTGGAACTTGCTATAAGAAAAATAGCTCGAGAAAAGGTGCGTAAAAATGGTAAATACTCGAAATCGAGTTCAATAAGGCTAAAAGCTGTCAAGGTTATTTAGAAAGATAAGCCCTTAATACCTAACGGTAAAATGGTAGGTAGACCTATTAACTTATCTAGTCCCAATTCTAGCGATAACGAGTTACCTACACCTATTATTCTAAAGCCAATGAAAGAACGAATCCCACTAGTTTCGAAACCTAAGATAAACAAGGGAAGCAAACCTGGAAGCTACATATTTGGACTCGGGACTAGAATCACTAACCAAATCAGAAGATTGGTATGGTTGAGGTCGGTGAAAACTGACGAGCAAAAGCGTTAAGAGACAACAGCAAAGCCACCACAACTCTCGCACTGGTTAATGCTCATGACCTGAAGACAAACATATGATTTTGCATCTCTGTAAATTTGCTGTCTGCGAGCAGCTGTACATAATCCTATTGATTCGTATTCGGCACGAAGGTGGATGCAAATTTCAGTTCCATCAAAACTCTCGCAGGGGTTGGTAATGATTCACTTGAATACAAACATATGATTTTGCATCTCTGTATCTTCGCGATCTGTAACGAAGTTGTATCGGGGTCCGCCCGCACACTCGCCCAGGTCTTTCGACCACTCCATATGCGGATCTAGAAATAATGAACTAGTCCCGAGAGATGTTTTCACAGACAGTATTGAACCCACGACCGAACTTACCAATTTTAGATCCATTAGAAAATTTCAGAATCACCGAGACTTGAGAGACTCTTGAAGTCGTCATCTTGAAATACACCACTATTGTGTGCTAAAAGTGCCGGTCTTTGATATTAGGTCGATCCTTGATATTAGGCCAGCGCTTCGTGCATGAGACCTGTAGCAGTGTAGGATCGGTCATCGAGTGGAATCGCTACACAGGTCAGTAGGGATCTTATATCAAGAGACTACGTAAGAGACAACTTCGCATACCACTTCTCTTGCTCCGTCACCTTACCTACCTACCAAAGTCTATCAATCAGTCCACGTAGGAAGCTGGAAGGTAGAACTAATCCCGACAGACTGCCCACGGTGAGCCCGCTCAGCCCACTGGTCCTGCCTCCCTATCACCACACTAACGCTGCTGTGCGGTTGCCCCGCCAGAGCTAGGACGTAAAGGATCTACCAATTTCCGCCAAAAAAATAGCATGCCTTGTCGTTGCTTTTTGTACTGGGCATTATGGACTTCGCCAAAAACAACAACGTAAAATTTGCTCAAATGGTGTTGCGCAATTGCGTCGCTAGATCAGGCCCTCAAATGATAGACTTTTCGGTGTAGCCGGATGTGCTGGCACTTCTACTGGACATGATGGCGGATGCCGGCAATCATATCTTCGACTTTATTTGAATGTTGTTATGCAGTTGTGCCGATAGGTCGGGGTGTCTGACGAGGGACTATATGGTCCAGAGTCTTTTGTACTTCTTGACGTTGGTATTCGTATTGGACATGAAGCATCAATTTTTCCATCGCGCTGGATCTGAAAAGGCATTGGGTTCGTCAGTATATGCGCATACACACTTGTAATAGTTTTGCGGACTTACGATGCCACTTGACAAGTCTTTGAACCGGATGTGCCCTTTGGGCACTACTTACCATGCCTCTTCGGCAACCCCGAGTCACATAGACATTCGCCATACGAATGAGTGCTCCAGCAAGACAACCAAGTTAGCTGTCGAAGCGTTATAATAAGGCGTGTTTGATGATCGGTGGTGACATTATCCAGCGTCGAGTTCGGAAGGGGAACAGGACACAAGAACTTAAGAAGTTGACCGCCGACGACCTGATCTGCTACGACTACTGACTGGTCCATCACCATCTTTCTCAATTTTTCACCTTCATCCCGACTCTCACCTTGGTCCCGCGCACCAAAGTCAACCTCCGACTAACCTCCGAGTATATAATCTACCGGGGTCTTAAGCCTTGGATATTGCACTCTGGTTCTTATGCTTCGCCTGAATGCGATGGCTTGAAGTCGGGGAGTCCGCCGCTGACCAGCCAGTCTGCACAAATACCGCCTGGTCTTTCAACCACCATAACTAAAGGCAACCCGTGTGTACATATATTGTGCGAGTGGCTTATATACGTTCCATCCTTCAGCGCTGTTCGTTGAGGCAATGGGAATATTTCTGCCCACGAACGATGTAACAAGAAACTGTACTAGCGTCTTCTGTTTCCCTCCTAAAACCGCGTGCAACGATAATTGGATTTAGACTTCCAATCAAGCGTTAGTTCTTAGTTTTGTCAATTCCTCTTCTAGAGTTTGTGGCATCCACTTACAATGGGCGTCAATGAAAATCTTGCCTTCCGATATGAGGCGCAGTATCTCATCTCCTTGATCTTTAGCTTACGACGAGAGGCGCGATATCCTGTTTGAGCCCATGATTCGCCTCGCATCCAAGAAAAAGTTGACAAGTGTTTGGTTGAGCTAGGAAGTGAACGCTTGATTGTTGACGACGTACGTAACCACACTTTGCATTTCGGTCAGAGAGAGAGTTCTGGACTTCATGAGCTCAGCAACATACCCTATCCCTGAGATTCCGCATCTTCGCTCAGACGCTCACCGTTGCTATTCAGCCTTTCAGGTGTGAAATCGAAAGCAACTTCTGAAATCAATGACGAATGAAGGTGAGTGTGCATTTTTCGTGGGATGATGTAATTTAGTTCGGTTGCGCCTGGCCCCAAGAGATAAAATATATTACGAGTCCGGGCCAGCGTTGTTAATAGTATTACTGTGCTAATTTTGGTACGCGCGCACAGCTTACTCGGTCTACGAGGAAGGAGAAGAAGTATTTTCCGAGGCGCGAGGCGATGGAGAAGGGGCCGGTAAGGTGTTTGCTGGAGAGAATGAAGTAGGAAAGGGCAAAATCCATTGCGACAATCATGGCTGTTCATTACCTCATGGTGAGCGAGGGGCAATGACACGCGAATTTGACTGTGGCTACAGGGAGGAAGTTTCATGATAAAGCCGACTTTTCCTTCTTGGTAGAGAGTGAGGAACACCCACACGCGAAATGCATTGTGGCTAGGGTGATTGAAGTTAATATGGCTACTTTATATTCTGATCTGCCATTTACCAAACGACAATCTATGTGAAAGTGCAGACACTACGGAGACGTCATTTTTCCTAAGAGGTGGGAATGAGGCAGCGGGACGTGAGGGAGTGATCATCCAAGAAATTGCTGTAGCAAGTTTTGATGTAAAAGTAACCACACATTCAACAACCCGAATCCGGTCATAAGTAAGGAGGAAATGAAGCGAAGACCTGGCTACGTCTCCTGAAGGGAACAATCCTCTGGTGTTAGCTTCACTGGATCAAACACTAAACTATATAATAAAGACCTTCGACACTTCAATAACGACTATTATTTATCACGAACTCATGTCCTCTGCCTTCCAAACATACAAACTATAAAATCTATACGCTAAACACATCTTCCTCCACAGCCTTCCTTGATTTCTACTACCGTAAGTCGGCAGATATTGGTTCGATAACGTGCTGCCTCTCCGCTCTCCGCTCTCTTTAGCCGTTGAATGTCGGCGAGAAGGGATGTTCCGAAGATGTAGTAGCCGAAATCCCCTGGGAGGTTAGTGTCAACCCTGGAAATCAGTTTATAAAGAGCTTCGACATCTTCGAAACGTTCATTGTCGATTATGGCCTTAATACCACTGCCTTGGATCAAAAGGAACTCGGAAAAATGTGCGCTAATCATTATTTCTCAACAAACCTCGCAATCCTTAGTGCCGTAAGTAAAAATAAAGTGGTCTAGCAACGTGCTACCTCCTCCGCTAGTGGTTTTTTTCGTCTAGAGCAGCCATGTACTGGCATCACGATCTCGAAGTAATGAGTTGCCTTTTTTTTATAGAACCCTTTGCCGTTTATCCAGCATTCGGGCTGAAACATCGTTAGGGGGAGCTTCTCATTCTCTGCCTCTTCATCCGTCACACGTTTGTCCAAGTCTTCCGGCAAACAACATGCTGTTCGCCAAGAATTTTGGCTCAAACATCGTCAGGTAGGGCCCTTCCATTCTCTGTTTCTCAACCCGTTCCCTCTACAAGTCTTCCAACCCAGACATACATGACCGTATGTGATATTTGTGTACGACCTCTCCATCTATCTTCATGCCCATTTAATCCGTTGAGTAGAGGAAGCTGAAGACATAGTCTCAACATAAAGCACATCACAATCTCGTTTAAGAATCAACATCAACAACCACAAAAGAAATCGCCATCCATTCCAGCCTCCAAATCCGGTAGCAAACCACTGAAGATCTTGAGTCAAGGCGTTCAGCATTCCACAGACTACGCCCATCGCTTCGAAGCCAAATTTCTTGTGCAAGCGTCTGTTTCTTGAAAATCATCAATTAATCTACGCAGCCCGTAGCTGCGCACCACCAAAACCAAATACCAATGCTACTGGCATTCACCAATATTAATCAAAAAACCCAACTCACGAGCTTCCCAAAATCTCAGGCACAAAGATCGCAGTAACAAAAAAAACCCCAAAATCCCTCCCTCGCAGTCGGGAACATCATTAGTAGTCGAAACACTATATTTCTTCGATAGAGGTAACAAATTGTTTTTTATTTAATGGATTACCCTGGCACATTATCACATATTTCGTCAACATTTCTAGTAAACAGCCCTTTTTAAGCTCTGCTAGAATTCATTGGGACTGAAGATTAGTTGGTAGGTGATTGACGCTTATCTTGTCCTCCTCACAATAGTAACACACCCCAAACACTACAACTACTTACTGACAACTTTCAATCTCACTCCCTTCACAACCCTCACAATCTCTGTCATATACCGAACATAATACACCGAACATCCCATAGACGTACAAACCTCTGTCCAAATTCCCAACATCACTCTTTTCCTCAACTCCCCTAATTGAACACCCCTGATCCCATAAATTCCCATATTCCCCAAAAACCTCACAGAAACCACCCATAATACCCCATCCCAATCCACGAAATCCCCTCCATTTCATCACAATGAACAACTATCCGCTCAAACCATCACACTGCTGTCCACCGTGAAAACATTTCCCAATACCAATGTCACACCATTCTACATTAAGTACAAATTCCATCGGCTCACCTCGACGATCAACTTTTTCAATTTCCCAGAATAATAGACAAAATATCTGATAATTTGTCAATTGGATTGACGAATTATCGTTCTTTTCGTCAACTATATTAAGCAAATATTTGGTTTCGACGACCCTTGTATCGTCCACCGTGACGTGTTGAAAAGGGTAAAACATCTAGGCTGTCAAACATCTACATCGCCTTCAGAAAATAGGGAGACAAGATACATAGTAGTTCCTACTGAGACTTTCCTCCAAGAATGGCAGTTTATACATCGACTCAAGATTTTTGATAAATGCAGGTCAAAATGGCATCGTTCTGTCATTCCTTCCAGCATTCACGTTGCGGTAATCCAAGTCAGTTTTGACACCAGAACATCACACTTAGAAATAATTACATAACCTCAAATCAAGATTCCATAATTCTAACACTACTCCAATCATATAAATCCAAATCCAAACACCTCCAAACAGGCATCTCTAGCGTCGAGACCCTACGATAGAATTTCAAAAAAGGAGAATTGGCTGCCGGTGACTTTCCTCCCGCAAGACAATCGGCAGAGCTAGGTTTTAAACCGCCGTCAACAAGAAGATAATGCTCGAATCCATACTCAGGTACCTCCTACCCCTCGCGTGACAACTAGTTCGGGATGGGGGTCAACGAGAAGTCATCCCATCGAACCGTGCCTATGGGAGGCCCACGCGTGTTAGGGTTATAATCGCATGTCAGTTCCACGGTGAGGAGAAGATTCTGATTGTTAGGGAAAGCACTAGAATCGAAACCTCCAGCTGTTATTAGCCATCCAACGTTCCAAAGGAAAGAGGGAGTTGTAGCTGCGACAGTGTATAAACCACCACTGCCGGTTGTGCCAATGCCGATGTAATATATAATATAGCAATCTGGATCGTTATCGGGGTTTTGACCACCAGCTGGAATAGCTTTGAGATCACCGACGGTTTGCTAATGGCAGTGTTAGTTGAATGTTAGATTGTCAAAGCACAGAAAATACATACCACCGTGAATTGATATAGCGTATTTGGACACACAGTAATAGGTGCATAAAACCTGGCGTTATATGATACCTGGTCGAAGGTTATGGACCCAGACCGTAAGCCGTTAAGTGCACTGCTAGTATCCGCGAAGTTGTATGTTGGGCCAAGATTTGAAGGATTGTCAACAACTTTCCATGAATCTGAGAGGGCCTCAAATCCGGGACTGAGAATCGTACTACCACCTGCACAACCCTTATCTCCCCTCCAAGAAGTTAGCATATGAATGTTTGTATGTTCATGAGGAAAGGGGGTGGTTTAAGGATGAACAGCTACTTGGAGTAGGAGCTTGAAAGGGAGAACAAAGCAAAAGGTCGCATACTTCGGTCCAGGTGGGCCGATAGGGCCAATTGGACCCTAAAAAAGGTTAGCATATGAATGTCCGTATGTTGCAAAATACATACGATCGCTCCTGGTGGTCCAGTTTGACCCTATAAAAGGTTAGCATGTGAATCTCGTATTCTTCGAGACGATAGAGGAGTGTGTAAGGATGAAACCCCCTCGCAAACATATAGGTTAGGGGTTTCCGGAAAGGGAGAACGAAGGAAGGGATAACTTACAGTAGCTCCGTTGGGGCCCTTTTAACAAGTTAGCATATAAAACTCTTTATGTTCATCGAGAGGATCGGATTGTCGAAGCATAAAGCTCTCTCGCAACTTACAATAGGTCCAATAGGGCCCTTTTGAGAAGTTAGTATATAAATCTTAATAGCTTGGAGAGGATAGGAGTATTAAAGTATAAAGCTCTCTCGTAACTCACCAGAGGTCCAATGGGGCCCTTTTAAGAAGTTAGCATATAAATCTATATATTATCGAGAGGATAGGAGTATTAAAGTATAAAACTCTCTAGCAACTTACGATAGGTCCAACGGGGCCCTTTCAAGAAGTTAGCATATAGATCTGTATATCATTCGAGAGAACAGGAGTATTGAAGCGTAAAGGTCTCACGGAGACATCAATATTGGAGGCTTCTGAAGGGGAAAACAAAGCAGAGGATAACTTACGATAGGCCCAGTACTGCCTGGCGATCCCGGACTGCCGTTCGATCCTTTGTTTGAACACAAGTCAGGATTTGATCGCTTGGATAGCGAATAGGAAGTGAACAATAGTAGAGCACATACCGGGAGGACCTGCTGGACCAGTCTACAAGAGAAATTGTTAGCACATGTACTCTTTTGATGAGTTTGAGGAAGATAATCTTGGTAATGTCTTGAAAAAACGAAGACTCCGCTATAACTTACCGGGCCTTGCCCTCCATCCTGGCCTTTTTTAATCAAATTAGCCGTAATTCAATTGACTACATGGTCTGGACGACAAACCGTTTAACCCATTTTGACCTATCGAGGAATTAGTTATAGTTTGAGTCAATCCAAAGACAGTGACCAACCTGGTGCTCCATCGTCGCCTGAGACTAGTTAGTCATATGTCAAGCCACTGTAGAGAGAGAATCTCACCAGGTGCTCCATCGTTTCCTAAAATTTGGAAATTAGCCTCGAATAATACGGTCACAATCAAGAGACCAACCGTCGTTGCCCGGCGCCCCGTCCTGGCCTGAAGGTTGAAAATTAGCCTCGAATTCTAGAGTCACAGTGAAGAGACCAACCATCATTCCCAGGATCTCCCTTTTCGCCAGTATTCCCCTGTTAATAAATTAGTACGCCCCTCTTTGTTCGCTTCAGAAGCAAGCCTGTGTCCGAGGATCAAACATCCTCGTAGGCACTAGACTATATATCTTAACGGGGGGACCAAAATAGACAGACCTGAACGCCTTGAGGTCCTCTATCGAATAAATTAGCATACGATTTTCTTATTCGCTCTGGAGCCGAGAGCCATGTCTGAAGGTCAAACATGCCCCTGGCAGTTGAGGAACAGAGCTTAATCGGAGTTAGTAAGAAGAAAGACTGACTGGATGCCCTGAATTCCAATACCAGGAGGTCCCTGGGTTCCTCTAACCAATAAATTAGTATACGAACTTCTTCGCTCTAAAGCCGAGTGCCGTGTCTAGAGATTAAACATGCCCCCGACCACTAGTGAATAGATATTAATAGGCAGGGCGAGGAAGAAAGACTGACTGAATACCCTGCGGGCCTGGAGGTCCCTATTTTAAATCAGCCTGGGTATGATATCTTGACAGAGACAGATTTTACCTCCGGTCCACTTTCGCCTGCGTCGCCTTTGCTGCCCTTATTCAGATCAACACAATATTCAAATTACCCATAGATTAACCACTAACCTGCTCTCCAGGGCTGCCATTTTGGCCTGGTGGACCTTTGGGGTGTGAGCTTTCAGCATTGGCATCAAAACGAAGATTCACATACCTGGCGGAGAAGGCACGCTTGTACCAAGCGAATACACGTTCAATCTTTTTACACCACCACATTTCTGATTGTGATTACCACTGCACTTGCTATTGCATTCCTCGCCGGGCGCGACAGTAGTTCCCCTGCGAATGCTATTGCCACAATAACACTGAGGTTTTGTCAGTAGTATTCGAAGTGAAGAATAGATTCAAACCTTACCTGTTTGCAGTTTTCGACACCGAAAAATGAATATCCATTACAATAAATGGCACATTTTTCAATTGTCATCGCAGGGCTTTGACCCGATTTTCCCGAAAGAGTTTTCCCACCATATGAATCATCTGTGAAGCATCCTTGGCTGTTGTAAACGATGCCTCGAGGGGAAATGACTGGCGACGCGTTAACGAATGTGGTGAGGCAAAAAGTGCCAACCGCGAGCGATTGCGAGAAACGCATGTTGGCGAATTGCAAGTGAACAAAATGAGTGTAAGGTGACGACAAGTCTTCACTTGTAGCTCATGCGTGCGTTGTATATAGTTGGGGGCATTTCCATCATTCCACACGAATTGCCATCAAAATATTTGTCTGCTGAAACATACCGATACACAATCTGGAGGTACCCCGGAGTTGACCTCCTGTTCATTCCTACCATCATTCCTGCCCACGCGACAGCGATGATCTCAATTTGGGCATCTAGGAAAAGATTCCCATCGATGAATATTTTCTAGCAATCGTTCACCGACTGTGTGATATCTTGTTCATGTTACGAGTGCTCGACGAGAAAAAAGACTATGAATGACAACTCCCATGATCGTCCTCGGTTCAGCGATAAAGCCTTCTTTGCTGAAAAAAATAGCCATGATAGCAAGAATGTGACAACCCTGGGCATGGCTAGGAATGCTGCTGCGGGTGTTTAATCTTTCCAGAAAGTTGGGCTGGCAATGACATCGAGATATCCAGCTGAGACGTATCCTTCTACGCGCATACCCGTAAAACGATCGTTGTGCACGCAGCAACATCTGGAAGGCTAGAGCCATGATACATTGTGTCGTGGAAGATGTTTATATTGAGGGAAGGACTACAGCTGCCATCGATACCATGGTGGTGAACACAAAGATATGATACACTAGTCCGTTGCAAGTCTGACGGGACACCTCGTTACGGTAGAATAGCAATACCATCCCCGAAACGTTATGTTTACTAAATCCTTTTGAGTAAATATACGGCATTGTTTCTATTGTAGAGGCTAATTATAAAAATCAAAGAAGGGGGGTTGGAAAGTCGTTTTCTGAAATCGATATCCGGTTGCCACTACTGACACCATCCTTACAAACGACGTGAGTACAGAGACGTCAAAACAATGTTCTCAATCAGATTTCTACGTTTGGAAACTTACTATTCGCAGAGTTGAATCAACACGTGGCTGTCAAATATCACGTTTCCACGCGACTGATTCAGCGCATGGAGCCGCTCTGGTATAAAGGGGGCAGAGAGAGGGTTCAATACAGTCCCGAGAATTATAGCCACATCATGTGATATTTTGTTTATTCAATTCAAGTATTCGGACACGACCGCATCAGGAATGCGTTACGCACGGGTTATCCGTCAGAGCTCCATCGAGGTGGGGTGTGCATAACTTTATACAACATTCGTGTTCTCATCCAATCGCAATGGTTTGAGTACGGTTCCTGGAAAGCGGTCGGCGGAACTGGTGGCCGATTGAATTCGGAGTTAAGTGCGGCGCTCAACCCCCGAAATAGTGGGGCTCGTTTATATCGACGGACAAGCTTTTGCCCAGCTGCTGTGATGTTCGATTTGTGTAACAGAAGATGATTTCCTACATAAGATCGGTGTGAGACTGGTATTTCGTTCGGCGAGAGAAAATGGTAATGGAGTGTTTCTCACGGGTGGTGCTAATGAGCTCGCACAGAAATACCTAACTGGCGAATTCCTTTTGTGGGTTGGAACTCGCAGATGCGATTATGTGGCGCGACAGCTATTCTGTATGAGGGAATCGAAACGATTGAAACAGTCTGCTTATTGATGAATTCTAGTGAGATATTCAAGGATTATGTAGATACCAACTGGGCTGCTTATTGCGAATACGTATTGCTGGCTGTGTTTGGACTGATATGCGAAAATGCCATGTCATCGGCGTGACAGTTTAATGTCGGGACATAAGAATTCCCGTTTGTAAGTAAGAAGCCGAAGAAAACGAAATCAAGCAGATGCAAGTCAAATCGAGGGAATATGTACTCTTTTTTTGTTAGCATTTTATTGTTGAGACTTCATATCATTGAAACGAAACGAAACGTTCTCGACCAATTATGAATACGAGAGTACGAGAACAAGCTGCGGAAGAATTTCCCTGGTCTACGAACGTGGCATCGGCCACCGATTATATGGGCCACTAGGCCACGTTCATCAATGAACAACATATCATTTAGAGATATAAGCAATATGTATTGAGTTATCTGATAGCGACTGTAATTAAGAGCAGCAGAAATGCAATCATTGGATTAAATACAGGTCTTAAAAATGCTGTCAGACGGAATACTACCCAATCCTGAACACGCCGAGGTCCTTTGTGTGCATCTCGGTCCCGACACCACGACTGGTGAGTCGTGCGGCGAGTACAAAGTAATACGACATCAACTGGCGCCCGAGCGGGATATCCTCTTTCCGTCTTTGATGGATAAAACTATGAACGGACTAATACCATTACGCGTGCTACAAGTTGCCTCTTCAATCATTTCTACCTACTTAGGTATCTAGGCTCCCATTTCTATTTCAGCCTCGTTGGATCTTTTAATATTCGTTGCTCTCCTTAACTACCTTCCTCAAAATTCCTTATCGATCGCCCCGCAATTATCCCGGTACGAATCTTTGTTGACGGCGCTCGCCACCAAACACCGACGAGCGAGCAACTTATTAACTTTCGAGCGACTGCTCAGCAGTTCGACGCTCAGAAACAGATCTGATCAATCTGCGAACACCGCGCCGCAGCAATGGGCGCCGACTTTTCAGAAAAACCTGATCGCAGGTCGACGGGTGCGTCGAGCCATGGCGATTCCACCTCCGAGCACGATTCTACGAGAAAAGAGAAAGCAGAAACCTCTCGACTCTCCTCCGATCGAAAGGCCCAATCCATTGCGAAAGCAGATTCACACGTTGTACAGGTCAAGGATAAGGGGGAAGACGATATCTACGCACATCTGCCACCAGCAGAGGCACAGATTCTCAAGAACCAGGTCGAACTCCCAGTTGTAAAAGCTGGTGTCAAAATCCTATATCGATATGCAACAGTCAACGATTACTTGATCATCGCCATCAGCGCAATATGCTCTATCGCTGCAGGTGCTGCGCTTCCATTGATGACCATTATCTTTGGTAATTTGGCTGGAGAATTCAATAGCTACTTCGCAGGTACAACCAGCAGAGCCGATTTCAACGACACAATCAACCATATGGTCTTATATTTCATCTACATTGGAATCGCGGAATTCGTCACCATCTACGTCTCCACGGTCGGTTTCATCTACACAGGAGAACACATCAGCGGGAAGATCAGATGGCACTACCTCGAGGCATGCCTGAGACAAAATATTGGCTTCTTTGATAAACTCGGATCCGGAGAAATCACTACCAGAATCACGGCAGACACAAATCTCGTACAAGATGGTATCTCGGAGAAAGTTGGGTTGACTCTCAATGCGGTGGCAACCTTCGTCACTGCCTTTGTCATTGGATTCATCAAGTCATGGAAACTCACATTAATTCTGAGCTCGACAGTTGTCGCCATCACAGTATCTATGGGACTTGGATCTACTTTCATTGTAAAATACAGCAAACAGTCTCTCGGATCATATGCTCTGGGAGGATCCATTGCAGAAGAAGTCATTTCCTCCATTCGAAATGCCGTGGCATTTGGCACACAAGATAAGCTAGCTCGACAATATGATGTGCATCTGGCCAAGGCAGAGAAATATGGTCACAGAGTCAAGTTCGTATTGGCAATCATGATTGGTGGCATGTTCTGCGTCATCTACCTAAACTACGGCCTGGCCTTCTGGATGGGAAGTAGATTCCTGGTCAACAACGAAATTACGCTAAGCGCAATTCTCACCATTTTGATGTCTATCATGATAGGAGCTTTCGCGTTTGGAAACGTCGCGCCCAACGCCCAAGCATTCACAACAGCTATATCCGCTGCTGCCAAAATCTACAACACAATTGACCGAGTTTCACCATTAGACCCAACTTCCGAAAAAGGAGAAATCATTCCCGAGGTAAAAGGCACAATCGAGCTAAGAAATATCAAGCATATCTATCCTTCCAGACCAGAAGTCACTGTTATGCAAGATGTCAGCTTGGTGATTCCTGCAGGAAAGAAGACTGCTTTGGTTGGTGCTTCTGGATCTGGAAAATCGACTATTGTAGGCTTGGTCGAGCGATTCTACGATCCAGTCGGAGGTCAGGTATTCCTTGATGGAAAAGATGTCAGCACACTGAACCTGAGATGGTTGCGACAACAAATCTCCTTGGTCAGTCAGGAGCCGACACTTTTCGGTACCACAATCTACGAAAACATTCGACACGGTCTCATTGGAACAAAACATGAAAATGAAAGCGCAGACCAGCAGAAAGAGCTCGTCTTGGAAGCAGCCAAGATGGCCAATGCACACGACTTTATCACCGCCTTGCCCGAGAAATACGAGACGAATGTGGGAGAGCGTGGTTTCTTATTATCTGGTGGTCAGAAGCAGCGAATCGCAATTGCTAGAGCTATGGTCAGCAATCCTAAAATCTTACTGCTCGACGAAGCAACATCCGCCCTGGATACCAAATCCGAAGGAGTTGTACAAGCAGCTTTGGAAGTCGCGGCGGCTGGACGTACTACAATCACAATCGCCCATCGCCTGTCGACAATCAAGGACGCTGATAATATCGTGGTTATGACACAAGGCAGAATTGTCGAGCAAGGTACACATAATGAGCTTCTCGCCACCAGGGGTGCCTATTACAGTCTCATCGAGGCACAAAAAATCGCCGCCAAGGAAGAAATGAGCGCTGAAGAAGAGGCCGAAATCGACCACGAGGACGACAAGCTTGTCCGCAAAATGACTAGCAAAAGTGGAGATTTCATGGAAGATCCCGATGACAAGAACATTGCCAACAAGCTCAACCGCACTCAGTCCGAGAAATCTCAATCCTCCGTAGCTATGCAAGGTCGATCTGAGAACAAGATACCAGAACCCTCCTTGTGGACCTTGATCAAACTTATCGCATCCTTCAATAAAAAGGAAATGTGGTGGATGTTGCTCGGACTTTCCTTTTCCATCATCTGCGGTGGAGGAAACCCGGTTCAAGCTGTCTTTTTCGCGAAAGAGATTATTTCACTGTCATATCCACTTACTGACCCGAGGACTGGTGCTGAAATTCCAGGTGCCGCCCATAAGATTCGCTCAGATGTCAACTTCTGGTCTCTGATGTACCTTATGCTTGCGATTGTCCAACTCATCGCATACTGTGGTCAAGGTTTAGCATTCGCATTCTGTTCTGAGAAGCTCATCCATCGAGTCAGAGACCGAGCCTTCAGGACCATGCTTCGCCAAGATATTGCGTTCTTCGACAAGGATGAAAACACAGCAGGAGCTCTTACTTCCTTCCTCAGCACACAAACTACACACGTTTCCGGTCTGTCAGGAGTAACGCTTGGTACGCTTTTGAGTGTCATCACCACTCTTGTTGCTGCCATTGCTGTCAGCACTGCAATTGCTTGGAAATTAGCTCTTGTTTGTGTTGCCACCATCCCCGTCCTTCTTGGATGTGGTTTCTTCCGATTCTGGCTGCTCGCACAATTCCAACAGCGCGCCAAGAAGTCATATGAGAAGAGTGCTAGTTTTGCTTGTGAAGCGACAAGTGCTATTCGTACTGTGGCTTCGCTCACAAGAGAAAATGATGTCTTGCAACAATATGTTGACTCCCTTGAAGCTCAAGAAAAGCGAAGTCTCAATTCTGTCTTGAAGTCATCCCTGCTATATGCAGCTTCACAATCTTTGATGTTTGCCTGTGTTGCATTGGGTTTCTGGTATGGTGGTAACCGCATTGCTGATCACGAATACTCGATGTTTCAATTCTTCGTCTGCTTTTCGGCCGTCATCTTTGGTGCTCAGTCTGCTGGTACCATCTTCTCGTTTGCACGTAAGTCTACATATTCCTTCATAACATTCATCCACTAACTTTTACAGCCGACATGGGTAAAGCCAAACAAGCAGCAGCTGAGCTTAAGATTCTTTTCGACCGCCAACCAACCATTGACACTTGGTCCGAAGATGGAGCGTCGCTTCAAAATGTAGAAGGACATATTGAATTCCGCGACGTACACTTCCGATACCCAACGCGTCCAGAGCAACCCGTCCTACGCGGCATCAACCTCTCCGTAAAACCAGGCCAATACATCGCCCTCGTCGGTGCATCTGGCTGCGGAAAATCAACCACCATCGCACTTCTCGAACGCTTCTACGACCCTCTCGTCGGCGGAATCTACATCGACGGCAAAGAAATCTCCAGCCTCAACATCAACGACTACCGCTCCTACATTGCCCTCGTCTCCCAAGAACCAACCCTTTACCAAGGCACCATCCGCGAAAACGTCCTTCTCGGCGCCGACCGCCAAGACGTCCCAGACTCTGCCATTGAGCACGCTTGCCGCGAAGCCAACATCTACGATTTCATCATGTCCCTTCCCGACGGCTTCAGCACCGTTGTCGGCTCCAAAGGCTCTATGCTTTCAGGCGGCCAAAAACAACGTGTCGCCATCGCCCGCGCCCTCCTTCGCGACCCTAAAGTGCTCCTCCTCGACGAGGCTACCTCGGCGCTCGACTCTGAATCCGAACATGTCGTCCAAGCTGCCCTGGATAAAGCTGCGAAGGGCCGAACTACTATCGCCGTAGCGCATCGTCTGAGCACGATTCAGAAGGCGGATATCATTTATGTGTTTGATCAAGGACGGATCGTGGAGCAGGGGACGCATATGGAGTTGATGTCGAAAGGGGGACGGTATTCTGAGCTTGTCAATTTACAGAGTTTGGGGAAGACGGGTTGATCATTTTCCTCGAGCCGAGAACCTTTTTCATTTGTTCATTTGTTCTTCTGTTTGTGTATATTTGAGTGTGGCATTCTTGAGCATGTTTGGCGGTCATTTGGACTTTGTTGCATTGCGTTGGCGTTGGGAGTTGCCCGTTTGTGGCAGGTACGTTTTAAAATAGATGGAGGGTAGGAGAGGTTGTGATACTTTGTGGTAGAGATGTTTCAAGAGGGGCGTTCGTAGAAAGAGGACTGGGGAGGATGTAGATAGATAATTAATAAGCTCTTCATTGATTCTCAAGCTGCATACCTTATCTTGATTACCAACCTTCAAAGTTATCTCCATGCCTCTTACTCCTCTGTTTTCCCCCAATCTTATTAAATTTTTACCATTTTTTATTCTAGGAAAGTACGACACCGTTTAGCAAGTGTATATCTTGATGTGTACATGAATACATCAACAGGAACGGCTTAAAAATAACGTAGAGATAATCGTGGAACTAGATCAATATCGCTAAATCTAGGTACTGTAATCTCATTGTCAATTACTAGTCTTTCAGACCTATATCAACGCCAACCCTTACTCACATTTCACATCTCACAGATAATTTCTTCAACCGCTCTCCCTTCGCACTCAAACTCAACATCCTTTATCGGATATAGATATTCAAGAAAAAGAAGCTCTTCATTAAATCTAGATAGTGTAACTTCAATTGCTGTTCCCTCGAACCCATGATAACGCCTAGCCAGCAACCTTTTCCCGCGTGGACCATTCTAGCGCGCTATCTGATCAAAGGATCAATACCACCCATGCCCCTCCTTAATTTTCTAATCTACTGTCCCCTCTTCGATTTCGGAATAAATAGGATACAAGTATATAGATGATACTCCCGTTGTTGGTTCTAAATTTTGTAATCTCAATACCAGTCATTCAAACCCGTTCCAGCGCCAGTCACTTACCCATGACTCTGGCACACTCTTCCATTCAATACCACCCATCCCCCTCCTCACCCAACCGCTCCCCCTTCGGATTCAAACTCAACATCCTCTGTCCCGGCAACGTAACCCCATTCCGCTGCTCAAAAACCCCACTAATCCCCCTCTTCCCCACATGTTCAAAACTCTCATACGCCTCCCCCGTCCCATTAATCGCCGCCCACTCCCTGCCCACCGGCGTACTTCCATCGCCTAGATCCGCCCAGCGGGTAACGCTGATCGCCTGTTTAAACCGCATACTCGGGACGGGCTCGGCGCGATCCTCGGTGAAGCGCAGCTCGATTAGGTATTCTGAGGGGCAGTCTGGACAGCGTCGCATAGGGCGGCAGTTCGAACAGAGCGTCACGATTGTGCCCGCGGGTTTCGGAAGCGTGATGGCGGGACCGGCGTGCAGTTGTGTGGTTATTGGGGGAGGCGGGATGGGGATGTGCGAGAGTGCGCATTTGCAGAGGGACATGAGGAGGCCGTCGCGCCAGTGTGCGCACACGCTGAAATATGGCGTGTAGTCTTCGGCGGGGCAGTAGAGGAGGTTGCGTTGACCGCTTGGAGGGAGGCCCGGGGCGGCGAAGGCGGAGGAAGTAGAGCGGAGGAGGAGATGCCCCGAATTGATGCTGTAGGAGAGGGTGTGTGTCCATGGTGAGGAGGAAGGGCGGTGGCGGCGGGAGAGGGCGTCGGCGGGGATGCCGTAGCTAGGACCGTATCTTTGGCCGCGGATGACGAGTTGGGTGAAAGGGAAGGGGAGGCGGTGGGAGGGTATTAGACGGTGGTTGAGGGGGATGGGTGTTGGTTCGTTGGCGAGAGGGCAGTGGTAGAGGGGGTTTGGGATGGATGTCGCTTTGAGCTTCTCGTGGCCTATTTGGGTGCGGCGATGGTAGGTTGTGCATTGATAGCAGAGGAGGTGCTTTGGTAGGGTGCTGTCGAGGAGGAGGAGGAAGGATATTTTGTCTTCCCGATGTAAGGGTTGGTTGAGGATTGTGAAGATGTCTGAGCCTAGTCGTGTTTGAATGACTTTGCACGTCAATGCTAGACTTGCGGCTGCTGGGAGAGTGAGGTGAGATACGAATATCTCCCAGACATTTTGAGGTAATTGACTGAATAGCTCGTTCCCCCTTGGCGAGTCTTTATGCCAAACATGTTCTTTGAATGCCTGATTGAGAGAATCGAATGAGCCAGTATGAGCTAAACTGTGTAAAAGCTCTGTATCATCTCTTCGTTCTCCCGTTTGAATATCTATTTGATCCGTATAATAGTCTGTATCTGGTCTCATAGCACTTCCCATGCTACGACGTCCAGTTTGGGTAGCGGTCGTTGGCGAGATGGAGGGTTTTCTTGTCTCCGGACCACCCCATGATTTCTTTCTCAGTTTCTCTCCAGATGACTTGGATTTGAAAGCCCGAGCTAAGCGGCTCGTGAGACTTGGTTTGCGGCCGGTACTGTCGGCCATGATGATAATGTTAGAAGTGATGAATTTGTTTGCTGGTCGTCAAATCCCGGTTGACGATCCTGTTCGGTTAAGGGTGTCAGAGAGCTAGGAATTATTTAGTTCAGATGTCAATTGACTCAAGTAAGGAGGCTAATTATCTCACTTATTCAAAGCTAATGATGATGGACAACTTTTCCCTCTCATGAAATGCGATTTTACAGATGGTAAAGACAAGGTGCTGATGACGATGCATTAGAACGATTGGCTTCTGTTCGCCGGCCATTCCGTTCGCTTGGCATTTCAAGTGGGGAACGGATGCATCAATTGAGTGGGGTGTGTTTAGTTGACGCGTGCTTCGTGTTTTCAACGCGTTGAATGATTCTGTCTGAGTGCAGAAGTACACAATCGTTGACGATTCTACTTCCATACTCAGCTCCTTCAACACATAACTGAGCCATCACAATTTCGACTCCGCTCGTGTATGCTGCAACTCGCATGAGTAGTCCTCGTGAGCGGCTCACAATTTCTATTACTAGAAGGAATGAAAGGGATGAAAATCGAAACTTTTGTTGTTGATCTTAGTGGAACCTTCAGAAATGAGGCTACAGAACCTTTCGTGGAATCCTAATTCCCTAAGATTTGCCACATTTATCTACACCTGATTTCCCTCAGCATCAACCTCCTTAGCATTAACCTCATTCCTCAAAACCACAGCTCTCTTGTTAGTCTTCGTCCGCACATCCGTACTCACAGTAAAAAAGGCCGCAACAGTAGCAGCGACACCAAACGCAATAGCCACCAAAAACACAAGCCTAAAAGCGTCCACGTACGCAAGTTTGTACGCCAACTCAGCAGCGGCCCTCACAGCCGCGTTCATACCCGGGACTGTCGCATAGAAGGCAGGTGTGTTGAGTCTTGTAGCAGCTAACAACGCAGCCTCACTCGATTGTGGGAATCCGGTCTGGGAAATGGCGTTGCGAACTTTGCCAACGATAGAGTCGTTGAAGGTTTGGGTAAGGATTGCGGAGTATATGGCAGTTGCTATAGCGCCTCCTAATAGACGGAAAGTACCTGCAAGACCGACGGCTATACCAATGTCGGTTTGATCGTCTAGTCCTAGCGATAACATGGTAAAGGAGATGAGTTGAGGTGGCGAGATCATACATGATGCTAGGAACACCGTTGCAATTGCTTGAGCTTTGTCGTTCACTCCTACCGATGCCATGGAACCGATCAACGCGGTTTGAACGATCATAAATCCGACAAGCTGCCATTTCTCGTGGCCTATTCTGGAACAGACGGTTACCACTATGATTCCGGCAGCTTCGAAATAATTAGCACTTGACTGGTTTATCGCTTCGAGGATTGAACTTACTCAATGTTCCAAGTGGAAAGATGTTGGCGTATATGCCACGCATGATGGGCTTGTCTGCAGGGACGAAGAGAGTGGCTGATTGTCTAGGCCAGAGAACGGTCATGCTGTAGTAGAGCATACCGCCAACGAAGCAGACCACGATAACCATAACAAACCTAATGTTAAGGTCAGCGAATTCAAGCCTTTCATCTGGGCAGAATAACTCACCCTCGAACCTTCTTAAACAACTTCGGTGGCAGAAGTGGATACTTAAGATCCATCTTCGTCTCCCAAAAGCCCAAAGCCACCGCACAAGCAAACCCAACCACGATAGGCGCGATAACAGCAGGCGATTTCCATTCATACTGCCTTCCGCCAAAGTTGATACCAACCAGCAAAAGCGTGGCCGCAGCTGTGAAAAGGAAGACGCCGACATAGTCCAGTTCGCCAAGCAATTCCAATTTCGTCTTCCCGTCATGTCGATGCTTCATGCTGAAGTCTGGTGGGTTGTAGCAGAAGAAAAGCAAGATAAAGAAGCAGCTGTGGAGGGAGAACATATACCAATAAGCTCCGCGCCATGTGATTGATACATTGGCGATGAATGCGTAGGAGATGAGTGGAGAGAAGTTTGCTATGATGAGGGAGCAGTCGAAGATACCTAACCACCAGTGTAAGCACGTTACTTATTTTCTAGGAAGAGATAACGCTTACCGACTCCATGCATCCGATATTTATTAGGCAGAATCTCTTGAATGCACGCATACGACATCTCCTGAAATCCGCTCGCGATACCGAAGATCACACCAGAAACAATCATCTGGTTTATGCTCTGTCCTGTAGCGCCGACTACACATCCTATCACGCCGAGGAATGAGCCTAGGAGCATGAAATAGCGACGGCCGAAGATATCTGCCAGTCTGTGAATTGTTAGTTACGGTCGAAGCTAATGTTGAATGGAAGACAGACCTTCCGGCTACTGAAATCAAGATCGAGGCTCCGAGTTGCCAACTCACTGTAATCCAGGTGTAGTTCGGATCCGGACCTAGATCCGCGTTGATGTAGGATAGCGTTGTGGCTGGGATTAGAAGCGTGAGGATGTAAGCGTTGAATTGACCGCATAGTGACTAGTATATTTTAGTTGGGCATGAGGCTGGAAGTTTTGATAATGGCTTACGACGAATGCGAGAATAGTCTGAAGGTTCAGACGGGCTGATTCTTCTTGCTCGGCTGGTGGGACTTGGTATGAAATTGTTTCTTCGTGGTGCATAGATGAATCTGTGCTCTTCTCGACATCTTTCTCCATGGCCATGTTTGCTGCGTCTGGTTTCGTATCATGCATTTCTAACAGAGTGGTTTGGAAAAGTTAGGTTTTTTTTTTTCGAAAGCAGAGGTCTTAACAACCAGTCGGACCCCGGGTATGTCACTTCCAATTTTGTTGGGATCGACATGCTTTATAAATCTTCGACGATCCATCTCGCAGTAATGTCGATCTCATCTGATATACAGGCCCGATAACATGGTATGCAGTACACGCTGTGTTTGGTGGGGAAGAAGTTCTCCAGGAGTCGAGTTAAATCTCCCCGCATTCCAAGGATTTGGTGAGGGTGATGTGGGGAGCCGCCGGACAACGTTATCCGGGGTACTGCTGGACCTCTTCACACGTCTAGTAGATCGACAAAGACAAAGGACTGCCCTGGGGAGAGAATTTCTAAAGTCTCATATCGTAAGTTCCATATCAAGAACCATTTCCATATCTAGAGATGGTTGGAACGACTGTCGATTCGGACGATGTGGTATTCGCAAAGAACCCGCTATAGACTTTGACGATATACTCATGGAGCTTGCATACGAAATTGTTAGTTCATCAACAGACCAGCGGCTTTCGTTCATTTGTGAAGAGTCCTGAAAGACACTGGAAGGTATTTTGGAGCTTTCTGAGTCTTGTGAAGGCCATTTCTTGGTTTGATGAATCTTCGCGCGCAGGCTTTTTAGTCTTCGATATGATGACACCTGCGACGATCGAAGAGAAGATGCCATTGTTGGGGTTAAGTGATGCGTATGCCCGTCCTGAGACGGGCTTTTGATATGCTCCTGGTCCTCGAAAGGGAGATTTGGTGTCTCCACAGCCGACATGTCTTGTAGTTTCACATTCAATGCCTCCTCTACAAATTTTCTTCCAAGTGCCCTCCAAAGTCGGTGGTCTGCTGCGTCCTTCGAAAAGGAGATCCTTTTCAACACCGCAAGTCTTCCAAAGTAGCTCTTCCTTGATGCAAGAACGCTGAGACTTTCAGAACTTAGTTTTCCGAAATATAACGCGTTGAACAGCTTTGTGGCTCCAGCTCGAGCTAGCTTTGCAAATTCCACCTCGGACACATTATTTTGAACAACGGAAATGTCGTCACAGATCATGTCGACTACTATGAAGAGAAGCTCGGAAGCAGAAATTGCAGCTTCTGCCTCGGCGTCTGTTTTCCACAAGTCATACTCCGCGTATAAGTCCTTCATCAGGTAGCACTGCCACAAATAAGCGTAGAGGAAGGCGTGATAGCGCGAACCTGTCTGCAAACAATAGTTACTAAACTGGTAGGCGGCTTGGGAGCGAGGCCGCAAAAGCGTGGAGCACAGTACGGCTGTGCACCATACAATACAGAAACCCATTCGCCTGGCTGCCGGGCTCTTGTTTCCTAAGTTGACTTGTACTCCAGGAGAAGCGAACCATTGTATTGTTGATGGAGACGGTTCCAGAACCTGGTTTTGGATGGAAAGTGGCGTTTTTGGACGGCTATTGTCCTCATAGTCGATAAATGCTAGTGCCGGGGCTTCGAGAAGCAGTGCTGAAAGAAGATTGCGGAACGAATTGCGTTCTTGGTCTGAGATAGTTGGATCGTGCTCTAGCAGGTTTTGAGAGACTTCCATCTGAGACTTGGTGGTCGCCGAGATGGCGCATAAAACGGCGGCATGCCCAAGCTTACCTTGACTACTCTCTTTGAGTCCCTTATCTCGCACCCTTCTCAGAAGCAGCACATATAACACAAATGCATCTTCGTTCAGACCCAGACAGGAAAGCAGATCTGCTGCAAGCTTCATATCATCCCATTCGTTTGGTGCGAAATCTTCAATGAGACGACTGCAATCAAGCCCGGTTTTCGGTTGAAGGGAGTTTTCGTATGTATAATCTCTGGCTGTCCAAGTCCAGAGTGGTTGGTCCCGTGAATCTTCGAGTAGATCCAAGAGGAATGCAAGATCGAGCTTTGCTGGATTATCAAGCGCGAAAGTCTTGATTGTCGGGGTCGATGTTTTACTCTCTATGGTATGACATGAACTCGGACTTTTTGCCGTTGGGCTGAATGTTTCCAAACTTTCTCGTCGCTTTGAGGTTCCTGAAGTGGTGCTTGAGTTTATAGAACGCGACTCTGAAGTTGACTGTTCTTCAGTATCCAGCTGATCTTGTCTCACAGAGGTGGCATTCTCCAGCAAACAAGACTTTTCTTTTAGTACCTCAGATGTTTCAGAATGCTCTTGTTTGTCTGAGACCGTACAGTCTAGCAGTGGAGAGCTTGAAACTGTTCTTTGTTTTTTGACTGGAGGCAAGACTGGCTCTTTCGTGCTCGGGGGTCGTGGCCGCTTAGTACTAAACTCATGCACAGTTGACCCGCTGTGAGAGACAGATGAGTCGTCTCCAGGGAGCTGATGCACAACTGAATCTGGAACTTCCAAAACATTGTGTGTTGGTGCTACCTCCATCTTCTCTGAACGATTCTTTCTGATGTCCCATTTTTTGAATTGAGAAACATATTGACGGTGGCTTGTAGAATTTATTAGCTTCTATCCCCATCTTGTTGTGCTACATGAAAACATACGACGGCGTGAAACCATGTCTGGTCTTCATATGTGACATTACTTCGTCAATCGTCATCATCTTATATAACTCGCACAATTCATTCTTGTGCATTTCCCACAAGGCCTCCGGAACGGCTTTGGCACGCGGAGTCGACGATCCTTTCCATTGTAATTGTTTGTATGGATGTGACATTTTCACCACGTTGTATCATAACTTTTCACAAGTCTTAACATGGGCAGAAAAGAAGAGAGTTAACAAGAGACGAAACACGAAACACATTTAGCTGTGTACTTCGAAAAAGTGAGGCTGTTGCGTGTCAGAATTGCAATTACCAAATCTGGAAAGGCGCCACTTTCGTGCGTCACCTTAGTGGAAAGTCGTCCTAGGGGCTGCCGTAAGCGAAGGGACATACCGAGTTTTACTGTCATGGACACGGGATAGTACAGTAGCCCTTGGTCAGCTGCCGCAGTAACTGACAAGGAAATTTCAGGGTTTTCCAGAAAATACGAACAGCAACCAACCACACTCATGATTGTCGAAATGACTTGCGGCTCTTCTTTGGCATCCCCGTCGTGCCTGGTGCCGTGCAGTCGTGTCAACCGGGGCATGCATTTAAAACATAGCATACTGTGCCCGATCTGGTAATTGCAATTCCTTCTTTACGACCCAACGTCACCACCATCCATGCAAGGCAATGCCGTACCTGAGTCACATCTAGCGAGTCTTCAAGTACTACGCATACTTTGAGAGTGGAAGATATGAAGCCCCAGAATATGGAAGCATCATAGCTTGTCCGGTGCGGCTGACGGTTCCACGTAATGTTTATTAGCCAGGAACATATAATGAGCTTCTCACCAAGACTGCATACGCTTGACCGCATGCGGAAATTGTAATTGACAATACGTCTTGTCCAGGTTCCGGCAGATGTTTCAAACAGGTTCGTAGCTATCATGAAGCGAGCAGGCTTCAGATTGTAATGCGTAAACATTGACACTTGACCGGACAAGGAAATTGAAATTTTTAACCTCCAAAGTTATCCAACCAAATCATGGAATCGGGATTTGGAGCTCGTAGCTACCAATATCTTGGGTAGTCGTTAGCATTGTTGGGAAGCCGCCCGTGAGCCCATCAAAATACAAAACACCCAAAGAGGAAATAAAAATTATGGCGGTTGAAGATATTTGAGCAGCGTTCCGTAGAGAAAGTTGCTATATTTGCTCCGATTTTCCTCTAGAAGTTGGTCATTGACAGATCATTCTTCCCATCAAGAGCTTGTTCAGCCAAATATAACATAATAGTTCTTGAATCAGCCTCAATCATGCCATCCGCCGACATCGATCATTTTGTTGACGCAAATCAGACCCTCGATCTCTTGCAAAGTACGTACTGCGATGCAGGTTGTTGTGGAAATGGGATGTGCATTGAAGAAATTCGAAGAGAAGCTCCTCTGCATATCCGAGGATGACGGGTGTCGAGTTGTCAATCTGAATGCTAACAATCTTCTAGTAGGCGTATGGCAATCTGAGTCTCGTTTGGAAGATTTTTCGAACCCCGAAATCATCATAGATGAAGAAGAGACTCCCAAAGGAAATCAGCCTTCAAATTCTTCTAGTCAGAGTAAGACTCACAGATCAATACTAGTTTGCAACGCTAAGCATCCACCAGCAGGTTCGGAAACTTTCCAAACTAAACACTCATCAAAGCAGTCCCAAAAGTCTCGAAAGCAACACTCGGACAGGGTTTCCTCATTCAAGAGTCACAGAAGATGATTCAAAAGCTCGTAATATCCGGCATCATCTTCGAAGGTCCTATATCCGAGTGTATCATTCTCTGAGATGAGGACTTGAAATATATGCTCGTAGCGCAACAACCAAGTATCAAAACTCTACGCAACCAGAGACGTGGGCACATGGGGCGAGAGGCGGAACATCTCTCTGTATTTTTTAGACATAGGAGACCCGTGGGAATAATCAGGGTCAAACTGTTGAGTTTTTGCTTATATATTTGACTTTGTAAAGCTAGTGATGAGCAGTTCTAGAATGGCTTTCTTGGCGGATTATATCGGACACGCGCGCGCGTTGGTATTTCCAAGTTTGTAAACATAGCTTAACGTCAATAATGGAATTTGTAATGGCGAATTCCTGTGCGTTGCGTTCGAAATAAGCATCGTGGTTGTGTTTCAATATCTTACAAATTAATCATCAGTCGTACCCAAAGAGACCAGAGGTCTTATCGACTGCAGAGAGTCAGCCCTGATGCGATCGCGCACAGTCCCTATCATGCTCAGCTTCTTCTTACTTATGTTAAGAAAAAAAAGCAGTTTCTCTCAGTTAATCAGTATGCAGAGTTGATCCGTCTGAGGTCGTTCATCAACGTAAAATTTCGTGTCGACGGTGATCGTCAACTTGACCGGCGGACGCGAAGAATCGACGCGCATGGCTCGCCGACTCTTCTACGATAGTCCTTCAGGGAGCATGAAGAAAATGTGCAAATGTTTTCATTGATGAAATGGACAAATTTGATCATTCTCTCACCCCAGAATGGGATAAAGCTTCAAGTGCGTCGAGTGTTGCAGAGTGATGCAAACCTAGAGAGATTCGGTTGTGCCAAGAGTCGAGCGACCCACTGACGTAGTACAGACAATATATTTTTTGAAAGCGAGTTGTGCCTCAACAAATGGGGGAATTGGTTTAGTGGTATAATGTTCCCTTAGCAATCCATCCACGATGGTTGATTTGGGAGAGGTCGCGAGTTCGATTCTTGCATTCTCCATTTTTTTTGCAATTTTTCTCCGTTTGTTGGAGGGGATTCAGATATTTTTAGGCTTCTGTAACGAGGCGTTGCGGCGTGATGATCAGTCAGCGCCGCTAGAAGGGTTTTGCTGCGGCGTAGGATTGATAAATGTACCTCATCTTTTCATATTACCTATATTAACTCCTCGCGGGTCACACGGTCCTTCAGAGTTTATTGCCGGTTATTGACGGAGATTGTAACCTTGCTATACCCATTTTAGTGTAATATACATTATCATCCATAGAAGCTTGCTATATTTATATTTTATACGATGAAGTGAGGGGATCCCGAGATCTTGAGATACGTGTACCAGACAGCCTGGTATCATCAGCAATAGAGAAGTGCAATACACTTAAAATAGGAGGACAGTTAGCAATGCCTGGAATGGAACACACAGTGAAAGAACTTGTACGATGTACTGACCTACAAAATTACTTTCGTCTCAAGGCATCTACAGGTGCTTCAGTCCTCATGCCATCTAACTGAGTTCAGATTGTCGTCTCGCACCCGAATTTCAAACTTTAGGTACCGCTGTAGTCTTGAAGAAGTTTTTCATTATGATAGAAGACTCATTAAGAGCAGAATGTTACTTCATATACCGAGGATGATCAAGGCAAGGGATGAATGTTGTCTCAACCTTCATATTTGAATTCCTCAACGACGCGCTATCTCATGAAACCCACATCTAAATACGTTTACAAAATTACTCCTAGAATTCAAAATCGCAATGAAAATCTTCAGCCTGCTTACGATCTTCGCATTAAATCAGGGTAGGAAGCTTGCTCCATCTCCGCATCACCTACCTCACTAACACCCACCAGTCACCCTCTCTGTCTACCACTCAAACAACATCGATTACCACTACAGCAACGACAACATCGACTGTTCCGGGTCCCTCTTTAACAACCTCTGCTGCGTAAACGGAACTTTCTCCGGCGAAGTAATCTCCTCACTCATCGCCAACTTCCACACAATCGACGCGCAAAACATACGCGCGTCAGTAGGTCTCAGACAATCCGCGATTCGAGAAGATATCGATAGAAAAGTGAGTGCTTGGAAGGACTGGCGAAGAGATGTTGTGACGAGCGGGTTGACATGTGATGGTGATGCGGTGGTGACGATGACAATGGATGGTGCAAGTGATGTTATTGCGAGTCTCACGAATGTCGCGAGTGCCACGGATACGGTCGTGACAAGCGGTTCTGTTATAAGGGCGAGTAGTGAGTCTGGTATGCTTGGGGTTAAAGAGACAGCGGGGTCTAGTAAGTGAATGGATAGCATGCCGAGGCTGGTGGAATACTAATCGGAATACTAGATTCAATAACGGCAGCAAGCCGAACCGCGACGGCAACTTCGAGATTCACTGGTACTTCGGCTAAATCCACGGAATCAAAGAGTACAGCTACTTCTACGGGGGGTGTTGGGATGATTACTCAACCTCCAAAAGTGTTCGTTGGTGGCGTCATTATGGCTGTTGCTTATGGCATTATGTAGGATGTGTAGAGATGTATTGGGTTTAATGGTGGTTGATTAGTGAACTTGTCAAGTTACGAGGATACGTGGTTTAGGAATTGCTTGAATTTTGGAAAAATCTGGGACTAATCGGCTGAATGGTCGATTCAACAATACATGGATAAGTAACTTAGTTTCTTTACAAGGAAAGTGAAAGGTAAGCGTGCAACTTACGTGAAGATGAGAGAAGTTAGAAGATTTGTTGGAATAACCAAGCATTTGGCAGATCTACTTGATTTCCAATATAACCCGGGCTTGCCTGGCTTAGTTCTGCTTCATAGCTCCGAACATAACTATCTGATGGAGTCTAAATCTGTGCAACAGACTTCACAAACCCAACTAGTTGCAATTTAAGACTTAACATCCATCTCTTCGGCCCGAATCCCTGTGGATTAAACGCCAATTCCTTAAATGTGTATTCCCACCTCCAAACTCATCCTTCTTCTTCACGAGTCCAAATTCCCTGCGCGCCCAACCACATACACATCAACTCCTCTCCACAAAACAATGATAGCCCACACTCTTCTCATTCCAACCTCCACCCTCTGTCCCGTATTCTCAACCACAACTTTACTTTCCCCCTGCCCTGTCGCTTTCTCTACCGGTGAATTTATGATCGTGGCCGAACCCGATTTTTCTGCGCTAGGAGATGGGGGGGTTGAGGGACCAGATTGGGGTGGTTGAGGTTGAAGTTTAGGACATCTGATGCGGCAGATGCAGGATGAGTTTATGCACATTGGGCAATCCATTTGTTAAGGTGTTAAGTGTTGATGGTTGGGTGAAAGTGCCGCGGTCTGGCGGTGTTCTGTGAGAATTGCTGGGATAGTTGCGGTGGGCGTCTTGTGGTGATTTGGTGGTCGTAAGTTGGGTCTTCTTTGCTTGAAAAGTAGTTAAGAAGAGTGTTGTGTGATGACCAGGTATATGTTTAAGAATATCTTATAAGTATGAGAGTTCAATTGAGCATGTTTTCGTACGATGCTGTTCTTTGGTTTTGTAAATCATGATTCACCGACAACAGTCACGTCGAAGTATGATGTATTCAGGTACTGTTTTTGAGTAGAGAATAAACTCACAGCCTAGGAAAGCAAGAAATCGCGTGAGCCATTTGTGAATTATGAATTTCGTTGTCATTAAGACTAAACAAGATAAATAAATGTAACCAGTCTAACCAGAACTCCTACGCTATGACTGTTTTCCCTATGATTAATCCAAAATTGGTGAATTGTTCTCTCCAGTGACCCATGATTTTAGCGACCCGTTTACTGTTCAAGAAGTGGCGGGAGGTGCAGCAGGCGTGTGAGGAGCATAAACACTTCTCTTCCTAACGCCCTCACCCTTCCAGAAAAACCACCAAGGCAATGGAGTCAACACCAAGCCTACGGCTGCAAACACAGATCCAGCTTGATGAATCCCCATAGCGTCGTACATCTGCAGAGTAAATAACGGAAAGATTGCGCCGAGTAAGTATCTCAAAATCCCATTGGCCGCTACAGCAGAAGCTCCGCTTTGAGCACCGTAAACATCAACGAGGTAAGTGGTGACGGATAGAAAGATTGCTAGAGTACCCCAGCCGAATGGCACGCCTGCTAATACAGGTACGATCCAATGAACTGATTCCCTCGGAGTCCAAGCAAACCACCAAAGGCCAATGGGAAGCATGATAGACCCAAGCATAGCAGCGTACAATCGATGTTCTGGAGCCGGACGTTCCCCTCGCTTAGCAGCTTCCGCGACAGCTTTCTTGTACAATGTAGCGTCGAAAGCGCCGAAAGATGCGACAGCCGAGAGGAAACCGACTAGGATACCGAGGAATGCAAGACCGACTTCCTTTTGATTGAAGTGGTAGACTTTCTGGTAGACGTACGAATAGGACCCGAAGAACGAGAACATCATCGCGAAAGCGAAACCAGTGTATATCGATAAGAATGCGACGGCTGGCTCGCGAAACATCATGTCGATAGGACGAGTGACGGCGATGCGAAGTTTGCGGATGAGGAGAGCGGTGTCACCACTTTGATGGGCGATCTTTTCGCCAGCTGCCTTTTTGCGGAGGTACAGGATTCGCGATTTGCTAGTTTCTTGCATAAAGAATGCGAGAACTATCATGGGTGCTGCAATTATCATGACCACCCATTGGGACCAACGCCAGTTGTTGTTGTATTCGGAGACTACGTAGGCGCCTGTGAGTGGACCGAGGGCGGGACCGAGAAAAGGAGAGAGAATATAAAATACTGCTGCTCGGCCGTTGGCTTGTGGAGACCACAAATCTGCTATTGTGCCTGAGGAAAGTTAGCGGCTGAATGGTGGAAGACGTGTCAAAGTAGCTTACCTGCGCCAACTGCGAGAGTTCCTGAACCACATACTGCGGCGATGAAGCGGTTGATTATCAACTGTGTTATATTCTCAGAGGCACCTGCAATGGCCATAAATATGACAAGTAAAGGAAGTGATGTCCAGTAGATGATGCGCCGTCCATAAAGTTCCGATAGAGGTGCTGCCAAGACGGGTCCAAGTGTGAAGCCCAAAGTGTAGAGCGAGAGCGGTAGGATCGCGACTTCTCGTTCTACGTTGAACTTTGCCATAACCAGTGGGATTGAGGGAACATAGGAGGATGTTCCTACGGTGCTGTGATGAGTCAGTAGATGTCTTTCTTCTGGTAGACAAAACTTACATAACGAACCCGAATAAGGCGGGTATGGAGGTGTGATAAACCCTCTTCCATGTTGGCCAATTGCGAGGGTTACCAATATCTTCCGGTGAGTCCCAATCCAAAGCAGGTTCTGGAACTTTCAAGTCATTGCTGGTCACACTTGGAGTTCCAGCTTCGTCTGCTGTTTCCTTTGCTTCTCCAAGATTTGTTGTGTCGGTTCTCGCAGCCTCTTCGTCGACCATGACTCCTTGTTGCGACATCTCTATAGAACTTCTGCTACAAATGTCTGTCGATGGCTAGTGTATGATCGTTGAGGTTGTCGTCGGTTGCATTGGTCTGGAATTTTGACCCACAAGCACTGGAGATGGTTGAAGATATATGCCTCCAAGATTTCAACACTTATTCATCGGTACAGGGCAGTTGTCAGTCGGGGTAACTTAATACTCATCAACATTAACGCCGTGGTAGGATTGCGTGCTCCAAAATAAAGACGGCTGATATACGCCGAGCTTCGATGCTGGATTCCATCATATTATGGTAGGGCTATACGCGGACCATGCATCTTGTACCTCGATTGAGGTGAGATGCAGCCGCAAAAGATTATTAAACACCATGTTTAGAGGCATTTTTCCTCCTCGGTAGGCAAACTTGTATCTGCAGCTATGACACAGGTGAAGATTAAGCAGTGCCATTGGTTGTGGAATAAGCGAGAGCGAAAGGGAGTTGATCAGTAAACATGGTGTTGAGATAACTCAACTGAGACCTCGGCACAATAGAGGAACAGCCAGGCTGGCAAGCTTGATAGGATTATGAAGTGACAGGCCTAGGCGTAATGACGGTCTATACGATTCTTACATTAAAATTGACAGTGAATGTCGGCCAACTTGAGTTACGTTAGCGAGTGCGAGGAAGAAACGAGGAGCTTTAAAGTTGCCGACGGGTCTGGCAATATTCGGCGTTAGGCGATGGTCCAAATTTGAGCGCGTGACATTTTAATGGGAATGAAAAAAGAGCTCTACATACTTGGTCCATAAATTGTTTTGATTGTCAAAGATTTCTCTTATATTGAATCTGTGCTTGTAATCTTCGACCGCTCCTAATCGGTAAACTAGACGCAGAATACTTTTGGTCTAAAATCAGTCACGTGGCGGTATGCTCCGGCACATTTTATTCGATTACACATAACGGTTCGAGTTCTCCTAGGAACCCATATTGATCTCGCGATATAGTTCCTTTAGTAATTTATTTTCCAAGAGTCTTATTAAGCAAATTTCTAGCTAATTGTAGTTGGGAATATATATACAAATTCTACTGCTCTGATTGGTTAGCATACTATTCTCGGCAGCTGCCGAGAGAAATGATCTGATATGGAAGCTTCAACACCTCGCCCTCCAAATGTTCGGGTCAACTTTCAATGACAAGCAATGATTATACGGTACCCCGCTTCGAGTGCCTTTCGATCCAATGGCCTCACTACCGTATGTAAATCATGTCTATCACGGACAACGAAGCAGTCGTCGCGATCCATAGCGAGAAATCTATCGACGGCGTCCAGCTTCAAAATTGCCGTTTCCGGAACCACGCCCCAATTGCGCTCCGAGTATTTTTCTGCGAATGGCATACTTGACAAGGCGAGGGCGAGCGCAAGGAGAGGTGGGATAACAACAAGCACAACACAGACAAGTGCGATTGGAATGCAAAATGGAGCTTCGAAGGTCTCCGAGGGCACCCTTCCAACACCACAATCTATACAAGATCTACCTCATAGGAGACGACAAGCTGCCAGGCGCGCTGCCGCTGCTTCAGCACAAGGAGATCTAGTTTTGCCGCCCAATTCCTCATCGACACTCACCGAAAGCGCTGCCGCCGCGCCGACGAATTCCCTCAGACGACTATTACCTATCCTCCTCTCCCTCTCGAAACCACGATTGAGCGTTCTCGTCGTCCTTACAGCATGTGCCACATACTCTTTATATCCCGTACCAGAGATGCTGTCTCCGTCACTCACAGACGCCCCCTCTCTTTCGACCCTCACACTTCTTTTCCTCACTACTGGCACGACACTATGCGCGGCATCTGCGAATGCATTTAATATGCTCTACGAGCCGAAATGGGACGCCATGATGAGCCGCACCCGAAACCGACCGCTGGTTAGAAAGTTAATATCTACGCGGGGAGCAGTGGCATTTGCGATTCTAAGCGGGTTGGCAGGAACAACAGCATTATACTTTGGAGTAAATCCCACCGTATCGTTTCTAGGCGCCTTGAACATCGCTCTCTATGCCGGCGTCTATACACCCATGAAGCGCGTTTCGGCAGTCAACACATGGGTTGGGGCGATTGTGGGTGGAATACCACCTCTCATGGGTTGGGCGGCCGCAGCAGGACAATCCGCTACGGAGGCGGGAGATTGGAGGGAACTTTTGCTCGGGGAACAAAACGCTGGGGGCTGGATACTTGCAGCGTTGTTGGTGGCATGGCAGTTTCCTCACTTCATGTCACTGTCCTGGTCGATCAGGGAAGAGTATAAAAACGCAGGCTACAAGATGTTATGTTGGATAAACCCAAATCGGAACGGCCGGGTGGCATTGCGATACAGTCTCGCATTCTTCCCTATCTGCTTCGGGTTGTGCTACTACAACATAACCGAATGGACGTTCGCAGTCGCGAGCACACCCATCAACGTGTGGCTTGTCAGAGAAGCAGTCAGATTCTGGAAGCTCGAAGGCCAGAAGGGATCGGCGAAGGGTCTTTTCTGGGCCAGCGTCTGGCATCTTCCCGTCGTCATGATTCTCGCCATGGTCGAGAAGAAGGGCATGTGGCAGCGAGTATGGCGTGCAGCAGTTGGCGAACCCTACCCCGACGACGACGAAGCCTGGTTAGAGGAAGATGACGAGGACGAGGCTGTGTAGTGCGATCAAACATCAAGCGAGGGCGGCAGTAACCCCAACTCCAGTGTTGGTTGGGGGCGCCTCGTTATTTTGACTTTGGGTTTTGTTTATGCATACACATCTACCCCCTCATATCTTGTATTATACACCTTGTTTCGTGCATGCATCTCGCAGGATCGGTTCACTTTTTGTAGGAATACATTCGTCGGCGTTTGTTGGGGGTTGTGTTATCCAGCTGTCCCGTCGTTCATGATATGTATGTGTAAATTCAAGCGAGATGTGGGGTCTAGATGTAACCCCTCTCTCTAATTCAAAGAAAACTTCACCCCCAATACTCATCGTCCATCTTCCAATCATCTCTACACTGTGGTGGCGATACGCAGCTGCTATCACAATCTAAAGGATTTACATTCGGATTGTTGGGGGAAGAAAGGTGACGTATTGACTTTGCTATTGCATTGACTGCCGCGACGCTTTTCCGTTCAGTGGCATTTGTCTGTACATGCGCGCTCGGATACGCGTAGTTGTAAGGTTGATTTTTGGGTATGTGATGTGATGGAGATACATGGTAGGAATGTGATGTCTATTGCAGAATGCGGGTGATTTGTACGATGATAGATCTATGTGACAGCGGGAGGATGAGGTGTGGGTTAAAGCTTGGTGTGTTGGTTGGGAATGTGAGGTTGAATCGTTATCGTCAAATTAAAATTGTACAATTTTGTGCAATCAGGACTTTAATATTCGAAGGTAATTTTCATAAGTTCATTCAATTTCTCATCTCTGTCTGCCGTTGAGGCTCTAGCCATCATAAAGGCAAACTAAATAGTCATACAAGCTTTGTATCCATCTCCTACTTCTACACTTGAGAACCTCGTCAAGTTGTCCCCATGTCAAGCTTGATCGTTCTCTTTTAACCGCCCGTTCCAATTTTCATACTTCCAAAAGAGTGTGGACCAGCCATTTTCAGGCCGTATAATTTCCGTCGTAACAACCCCCGAAGCTCTGAAGCTTGTAATTAAGGAAGCATGCAAACAAAACCCAATGCGCCGAGACAAAAGAAAATGTAAAAACGCCAAAATCCAAAAGAAATCTACTGTCGAGGACGATTGATGATAGCATCGATACCCATATCAATACTAGGCAACCGGCCATTATGTCCGTATCCCACGCTTCCAACACCGCTACCACCGCTGTGACTGTGTCCATGTCCGTAGTGCTGCCCGCCATACGCGCTACTGCTCGAGCTCATCCTTTCAGACGACCCGTCGTTGTAATCTGCGCCTTCCATGTCTTCGATCTCGATGCCGGAGTCGTCGCGCACGTAGGCGCCGGACGAGGCGGACGAGGAGTAAGGTGGGAAGGCGTGGTTGGGGGAGTGGGAGAGGGAGGTGTGGTGGGAGTGCGAGTGCGAGGGCGAGAGAAGACGTTCGCGGCGGGCGTGGGAACGGGCGGCTGTTTGGAGGTTTTTTAGACCTTGAGACATGCACTGAGAGATGTTGTTAGTAAGGTAATAGGGATTGGAAGAAGAGGGAAGTACCTTTTGTTCAACCACGTTCCACTTTTCACCAGTGGCTTCCGCGAGGGATGACCAGATTTCTCTGCGCATTCCCATGTAGTTCTTCGCCAGACCTTCGAGCTTCAATCCGTCCCAGTCATCGGCACTGCGTCTCTCCATGAGTCTTTCATGTCGTTTCCGGCATGCATTGGGTGTTTTGGTGGGGAAGTAGGTTTGTTGGATTGGTGCCCAGTTCATTCCTTGCGAGCGGGCTCCCATCAGAGTCTGATCGTCTGTAGGACTCCATGCTCCTGAACTGGGGCGGAGTGAGGTGATTGGAGCTGTGGATTGTATGTGAGAAGTGACTGGTGCGTAGGTTTGGTGGATTGGTTGGACTGGACCACCTGTGGAGTATGTGTTTTGTTGTGTAGAGGTGTTGTATGTTGGAGCCATGGTAGGAATTGGTTGGACTGAGTAATAGTCTGTTGATAGACGGGGTTGGTTGAGGTCTGCGTATTGTTGACCTGTGGTGACGGGCGAGAGGTTGTAGTAATGACCAGAATTGCGGAGAGAGTTGCGGTTGACTCTGTCGGTTTTAGGCATGATGGGCGGTAGTAGTGACTGAGTAAAATTAAGTGTGGTAGAGCTTTTGGAAAAGTTCGTTATGAATCGAGTAGGCCAAGTTCTTGTGGGTGGATGAGAATGTTCGATGCTAGAAGTGTGTTGTGCAACTGTATGACGTCTCGGAAGGAAATTGATTATAGAGATATTAGACGCCTCTCCGGGAGGGATAACTGCGTATCAAACGAGTGTAAAAGAGATAAGATGCTGTAAGAAGGTTGAGCTGAAAGTAGTTAAAAACTGCAACAATCAGGATAAATGGAAAAAGTGCCGAAATGTAAACTGCATCGAGGGTATAAAGTGAAATTGAATGGATATGGACGAAGGAAAGCTGACTGATCTGGAGATTCAAGAAAGGTCTCTGGGTTGACTGGGTGGCCGAGCTTTATATGATATCCGAAGCAAAGTTCCAGATCCCAATGGTTTGGGTGCGAATATCTCGCTTGTCTGCAAGCAGATATGGGAGCCGCAGCGCAAACGGGAGATCGTATGCGCATACAGGCTGCAAAAAAATAAATTAGACGCCAAATGTCCAAAATTGGCCTGAAACATTCAAGGAAGCTTTAGTATTGTGTAACTGGCTGAGAGATTATGAAGGGCGTACCCAACAGTACGGTTCACCCATGACTGAAGGAAAAGGTGAAACCGCAGGACTTAGCCAGACTGAGTAGCCGCGCAAAAGTTTAGGAGCGTCGATGGTCTCCAAAACTTAGCATGCAATGAGCAAGCGGGTAGGAGATTGGCTAAGGACGCTGATGGGCGCCTGTCTCAGTTGAGACCTCCAGGTCCGTCGAGTGGGAGGAGACAGGGGTAGGTTCGGTAAAGATACAACGAGATAGACAAAAATTGTAATTAAAAGATTGTGTGATGATCTGATCTGATGTGAGCGATGCGATGTGATTGCCAGGCATTGCACAAATCCTCGTCGAGGGGGCTATGATAGGGAGAGAGCGGCAGTCCCAGACTGGGTAGCTGTGTAGCGGACTCCTTCCAAACCCCACAGGACACTTCTACCCAGATGATTGTAGCTAAGATGGTGCAGCAATCGTGATACTATGGTGATGGGAGCCAGAGACTGGTCCGGCGGTTAGCCAGCCCGGGTTGGAGTTATGGGCGTCTAACGTGACGGGAGAGGCGTTTGTGGTCAAAAATAGGTATCCGGGGAAGAAGAACGAGAAGGGATGGCAGAACGACCAGCCACGGGTACTCAGCCTTACGACGAATCTCTGATCGTCTTATGAAACATGAAACGACGATGTTGTTCATCAGATGAAGGTTTGAGTGGCTGCCGAAGCGAACGTTGTGAAGAGCGCGGTTAGGGGCTATAAATATGGCCCGCAGATTAAGCGAGGTTTGAAGACCGACTCAATGTTCGGCGGGGCGACCGAAGCGTGATCGCCAGGCCGTTGGCTCCCGTTCAGACCGATGTCAGGTGATGTAAGCCAACAGCCGGAGAACTCTCAACCGTACTGTAAATATCAGACAGGATGCCTCATGGATTCATTCAGTACTGGCTGTACGAGTCAGTACGACACATATGATCGACAGTAACTTCAGATCCGCTGCAAAGAAGAATATAGAGCAACAATTCGCTTAACTTGAAATAGAGCTGATATCACATCCAAGTTACGTTGTAAGAGTCACGTTGTATGATTCCATTCAGGATACCTTTCTATATCGGCCTTGGGCAACGCGGTACTTACGCGGACTTGTTGGTTTTTTCCATTGTTTGTAAAGATGCATGAATCTTGGACTTCGACGATGTCTTGATTGAGGTCCTTCGGCGTTAACCAACACACGAGCCCCTGAGGGTTTCTCCGCAGAGTGATACAAACACGCAGACTCGTGCCTCAAAGACACCCAGATATCCAAGGCATAAAACCCCAAGTACCAAAGTATCTTCGCGCTCTATGCTTGTAGCCGCCCACTGTTCTTTAGCAAAGCGCTACGCAGATTTCCGGGCGCTTTCGACATCAACCCCGTTCTCGCCCTTTTTAACCTCACCGATTCCCCTTCTCCAAAAATACAAACATTCTTCACGAACTTGATACACCAACATGTTGGTTTCCAACCGCGTCAATCAGCGATTCCGCATCTGAAGACGGCTTGACTCTCGGTGAGACTTGAAAGAATCAAGGATATCACGGCACAATTCAGCGATCTTGTCACGTGTGTTCTAACTGTGATGCCCAGAGAAGACACACGAGAAGCTTTGAGAGACTGGGGTTGAGGAATTCAGCCTGAATTTCCCCTCCATTCTTTGACCTAAGCACCTCGCTAGTAACTCGCCCGCAATGACGGCGAGAAAATGTCACGATGTCCTAGGCTTACGACGTTATGGCTTCTGCAGGCCCCCTTGATAACGTGGCGTCGTGGTGTAGATCTCCCCGGACGGGTTTAATTTATTCGAGCGAAATCGTGCAAGTGCCGCCTGCAGGCTGTCAAATTATCCATACTCATCTTGAGTGGTGAGGAAGAGAATCTGGTGGGGCTTTACGCGAGGGTTCTTTCCCAAGAGTACAATGGTAAGTTGCCCGTTGGTCAATCAGGACCATCACCCTCTCGCCCTATCGTGACAATCTTGCATTTCCCCAGTCATCTTTATTTCACTCCTTGGGTCCATTACCCACAAATTGCAATTCCTCCTAATGTACCCATTTATCCGGAGCTGTCAAGTGTGGAGAGCTATGGAAGAGGGTGGTCTGGTCGTGGTGTGGTCATTGCAGAAAATTGATCTGATTTAAATAAGGCTCTATAGCCGGTCAATGTTGATCGGTGTGAATTTCACAAACTATTCTCTCGTTTCATTGTGAAGATTGCTTATTGAATACCTCGAATTTCATAGCAAAAATGGTGTCTGGAGCAGCAGCACCAGGTATCTACGATGCAGCACTTCAACGTCGTCAAGCCTTGATGGGCGCCAGTGGTCCAGCAGCACTGGTAAAAAATTTCAGGGTCTTCAGTATCGCCATGTTTGCTTGCATTGGTGGACTACTTTATGGTATGACTTTCACAGTCAGATTCCATCAGTAAGGCTAATAATATTTGAAGGCTATAACCAAGGTGTTTTCTCGGGAGTCTTGGTCATGAACTCGTTCAAAGGTCATATGCAAGATTATGCTTCAGACAGACCCGAAGATCAATCAAAGAAAGGATGGCTTACTTCAATTCTCGAGCTTGGAGCTTGGTTTGGCTGTCTTTTCTCGGGCTTTGTAGCTGAGGTGTTCTCGCGTAAGCGTGGTATCTTGTTTGCAACGGGTATCTTCATAATAGGTGTAGTGGTCCAGGTTTGTATAACTGGCCCCGACGAATTCTTCTTTTAACTAATTGAGTGTCAAGGTAACCGCTATTACCGGCGTTGGACACAACTCTATTCTCGCAGGTCGATTCATTACGTAAGTTGCCATCGAGTTGATCAAGATAACTAGCTAACACGACTTTCCAGTGGAATGGGTGTCGGATCCCTCTCGATGATAGTACCGATGTACAACGCAGAAGTCGCACCACCAGAAGTTCGAGGATCTCTCATTGCTCTGCAGCAACTTGCGATCTGTGCAGGAATTATGATTTCCTTCTGGATCGATTATGGTACCAACTACATTGGTGGCACCGGAGCAACGCAGTCCGATGCTGCTTGGCTTGTTCCCATCTGTCTCCAACTCTTTCCTGCTGTCGTTCTTTTCGGCGGAATTCTTTTCATGCCATTCTCTCCGCGTTGGCTTGTTCACCATGGTCGAGAGGCGGAGGCTCGTAGCGTCCTTGCTCAACTTCGAGATCTTCCACAAGACCACGAGCTAGTCGAGCTAGAGTTCATGGAAATTCAAGCACAGTCGATGTTTGAGAAGCGCACACTCCGCGAGCACTTTCCTCACTTGGCAGAGTACACCCCTTGGAATGTGTTTAAACTACAGTTCGTGGCTATTGGCTCTCTGTTCAAAACCAAAGCGATGTTCAAGCGCGTTATTGTCGCAACGGTAACTATGTTCTTTCAGCAATGGACAGGAATTAATGCAGTCTTGTACTACGCTCCTACCATCTTCAAATCGCTTGGCTTGGGTGGTAATACGACATCTTTACTCGCCACTGGAGTTGTAGGAATTGTCATGTTCCTCGCTACAATCCCCTCGGTTCTCTACATTGACAAGCTTGGCCGCAAACCAATCCTTACCATCGGTGCTATTGGTATGGCTTCCTGCCATATTGTCATTGCGGGCATTGTCGCAAAGTATCGAGACTCGTGGGATACTCATCCTGCTGCCGGCTGGGCCGCTGTTGCCATGGTCTGGCTATTTGTTGTACATTTCGGTTACAGTTGGGGACCTTGCGCCTGGATCATTGTTGCCGAAATCTGGCCTATCTCAAACAGACCTTATGGTATCGCCTTAGGTGCTTCCAGTAACTGGATGAACAACTTCATTGTTGGTCAAGTAAGTTTTCATCAAACCCATGCTCCTTTAACACACACTTACAGTTAAACAGGTCACACCGGACATGATTAGCGGAATCTCCTACGGCACATATCTCGTTTTTGGTATTCTGACTTTCATCGGAGCCGCCTTCATCTGGTGGTTTGTTCCTGAGACTAAGCGCCTGACACTCGAAGAAATGGATGTTATCTTCGGAAGCGAAGGAACGGCACAGGCTGATTTCGAGAGAATGGAAGAGATCAACAAGGAGATTGGACTTGATCGTCTCACTCGTAATATCGGTCAAAATACTCCACCTGAGTATGATGAGAAGCATGAGAAAGGAATCCATGAGGAGATCAAGACAGGATAGTTCTTCGTTTTGAGGACTGACCATGGTGTACTACGTACTTGTGAGCAGGTGTATCGGAGAGCTGAGGACAAGATGAAGAATACAGTATCTGATTGCAGATTTTATGAAGCCGCGAGACTTTGAAGCTTCGAATTGAACAACATTTGATTTCAATGCTCTATCGGGTTAGAGTGATGAGAACGTAACCGAAGTGAGTCACGTGAGATCAAAATTATATTTTTGCCGGAGTTGACCGCCTTGTCGACATCGCTCGCTGTCTACGAAGCTTCCTCTGCCACATTTATGACCGAATCACCGTGAGGTTCTATCAAGAGTATCATATAACCAATGATAAAGCTCTGAAATTTTTTATGTGGTATGAGCAATGGATGGCATCAGTGTTTTGATGTGGTACATGCAGGCTCTAACGATGTCAAAAATATCACAGGGTCAAGATGTTCTGTGCTGAGTTTGATGCACTCATTGATTTCTCTTTCAACAAGTATCAACAAGCGAAGTAAGTATCGGTGCTTCGGAGGGCTCCAAGTGGCGTTCTGTGGAATGAAGTCCATTGCCCAAACAACCATTCCTCGCAAGAATGCTGTGCGCCCTTTCCCTGTTCCTCTGTTTGTATACCCATCAGCTTTACGAGGTGAGCAAAAAGTTCTCCTACGATCATTGTTTCATTATAGGCCAGTTCAATGGCACCAAGCATACCGAGTTCACCTAGGAGTACACAACCATTAAGCCCTCGCAAGCAAGTCACGATCGCTTCAGGTACGACCACAATACTTCATAGTCCAGTCGCAACGTCAACAGGCCCGAGAAAATCCGCGTTGAAAAAGCGACCGGCGGAAGACGACCTTCAGGAAACTCCTGAGCCTAAGAAGACATTTTTCGGTTTCAACATACCTTATTTGTCAGATATATTTTCGCCATCGGCTGCAAGGGAACGGGAAAGAGCTGAGGAAGAAGAAGCTCTCTTGAAGGAGGTATCGCCCAAGCCAAAGCCTCCTATAATTTCAATCAGTCCCCGGGAACATGCTAGAATGATCGCCGATGCAGTTGATGCAACATTTGCCGCGAGGAATGCGAATCAGGCAGACAGAGCTCTTAATGATAGATCGAGGAAACTCAAATGGCGACCTGAGATTACGGCGGATGACGAAGAGTATATCAATCAAGAACATTTCTTTACAAAGTTATTGAGTTCAAAACCAATGTCTGTTCCGAGCATTCTTGAAGCGCATTTCGAAGAAGCTCAGATTTTGAGAATTAAGCCGTCATTGAAAAATCCATCCATCATAAAAGTACAAGAACACGACGCTAAAGAATATTACAAGCTACTCTCAAAAGGAGGGCCGTTTTATGGTAGGGGAGATAATCTCACGACCAAGTTGACAATGCTGAAGTTTGGTTTCCCGGTTGCTCCAATGACACATACCAACTTACATAATGCTGGAAGAGATGTCCTGGCCGATGACCCGGAGGACGAGGAAATCCCAGGGCCAAAGTATCAAAGAATTGAACATTCTGAGAAGCCTTTGGAATTTTTGGACTCCTATTCCCAAAGGAGCTTTGGCTTTCCAATGCTTCGTGGTAAGTCATGAGCTCCCGTTATACGAAGCGGCTGATCTAATACAGATAGAATCCGAAAAAGAATACCAATCTTACGTCGGAGAAGAAGAAGAGGAGCTGAACCCCAAGAGTGGGATTCAATCCCTGAAAGAAAAGAAACGACGGCCGTCGCAAGTTTCCCCAAGAAATCATAAGAACCCTCCACCGATTTATCCTGATTCCAAGAGCCCAGCTCTTGGTCTGCGGGGTGGGGGTGGTGCGGGATCCACTGAGAATCTCAAACCGAACTACCTTTACAGCTACAATAGAGGCAGAATCCAGTACGAACCTACAGCGTCTGATAGCGAGCAAACCTTTTTGGAGTGTGCCGGGACCCTCCTTCACTTCGATCCTGAGTCTGGCGGATGGGCTTTCAACGTCGATCAATACAAAGATCGGGTATCTGGTGAGAATACTACGACAAAAATATTTCATGATACCCGAGAAATCACAAAAGCCACCTTTTCTGAGGTCTTTAAGAGCTTCATAAAGAACAAAATCAACAGCCGTCAGAGAGACTGGCCGTTGGTTGTCCGTCCAGTCGATGTGGAAAGACTGGAGGGTTTCGAGCTTCCTACGGAAGACTATATACCTCCGAAGATATTATCTCCTAGAAGATCAAGGTCATCTTCCAGGAAACACAGTGCCTCTAAAGCAAGTCCAAAAAAGAAGGTGACCATAGCCCCGGTGGTAGAGGTGCAAAATATAGAAGGCGTGACAGACGTATCCTCGTCCGCCCAGGTTCTGCAAACTTCTGTCGGACTGCAAAACCAAGCAGAGGGACCACGTTTGAACAAGGAAAGAATTCTTAAGCCCAGATCAGCACCCGTCCAAATCCAGAGGTTCGACCCTTGGATGGCAGAAGAACGCCGATTAGATCGCTTGCAGCGCGAATCATGGCTTCACGATCATTCTGCAATAGAACCTGGGCAGAAGCCAGAGCCACCTCTTTTCGGCACGCCCAAAGATTTACTCATTGGCCAAACTGACGCGCTGCCGAGAATATATAGTCACAGATTGACTCCAACTGATTTTAACCAGGTAGTGGAAGAAAACCAGACTGCTCGATATAAATTGCTTGAGAGAATAGATGCCTGTCCTCTGTGTCCCGCAACATTTGAGCTGGACTCTGCCGAAGAAAGAACGAATCATTTCAAACTCCACGCCGATCAGATAGCCTCCGCGGGAAAATGCCCGATCTGCGAAAGTGAGCAATGGATGATGATGGATATGGACCAAAGAAGAGATCATCTTGCCTATCATCAAAAGGCTAGTCCCAAGGAAGCGTCTTTCGACAAACTTGATTGTCCCGTTTGCAATAAAAAACTGAGTAAAATTGGAGATACTGAGGACATTCTTTTTCACATGGCGGAACATACCCCTGGTGTATTGAAATATTGCGATCGCTGCGGACTCAACATCAAAGCCTGCTCTCAAATCGAGCTTCTCAACCACAAGAAAATATGCATCGATGGACCAGAGAGACTCTCAGATGACGATCAATTGTATTTTTGCGACGTCTGTGGTCGAAATCGGACTCATGAGACAGAAGAACAACTTGTTTCGCACCGCAAATTCTGTTTTCTCGATAAAGGTGTTTACTGTTTCAAATGTGGTCTAGATATGACAAAGATTTCGAAAGAAAATCAGCAGCGTCATGAACTTCGTTGCCATCACCCAAGAGGCTATCGCAAGAAATGGTGCCAAAAATGTGGCTCGGACATGAGCAAAATGAATGATACGGATAAAAAACACCATCAGCAGAGCTGTTACGCCAGAGAGCCAGAGCCTGTATCGGCAGATTCCCGCAAGAAAGGTACCTATGCTTCACTTCATTACCTTACTTAACCTTACTGACACCCGATAACAGAAATCCAACTTCTGATACAAAAGCAAGCAGACCTCAATGCTCAGAATAGAGCCATTGAGTCCGAAATCAGATCTAATCTCACTGCTCTCTCCACTCCAGGTGCGGGTGCAGCACGATGGGCACATGATACCGGACCCTGTCCAGTAGATGGATGTCAGACCTCGCTCTCAAATTATTCCCCCAGCCAAATCATCAAGCACATGAAGACGCACACAGATGCGCTTCATTGCCCAATCATCCACCAAGACGGTGATGTGATGTGCGTACACACTGCGGAAACTGGTCTTCCAGTCAGTCTGAACCCGCAATCTCAAAGTGTTTTTGATACACTGCGTGAGAAGTATGCTGGATTCAGAGAACGAACAACCAGAGCTACGGAGCGGTTGAACGCTGTTTCCACCGTTCCGCGCGCACATACTACTTCACCCAGAAAGGAAACCAGAAACTCTGCAACCTCTCCGCGAAAAGAGCCGCAAAAAGTGACTTTTAGTTCGCCCATCAAAAAGGTCCACAAACCTGCGGTCTCACCCAAAAAGGGTCAACCATCGCCTCGGAAATCTGTGCCAGAAGAAACTGCATCGTCCAAAAAGCCATTCTCTAGAAAGCGAAAACTCTCTACTTTCCAGGACGAATCCGAATTCGAATCCGAATCATCCTTCTCATCTGGTGATGAAGAAGATGAAGATATGCCACCCGGAGCCTCAGAATCCGATCGTCACAAATCCACAAAAGGCCGTCGCGGAGCCAAAAACGCAGACGGGAGTTATAGATACGAACACCTCCCCGATATCCCCATCCCTGAAGAAGAAGTCGTTCCTGACTCGCTCAATTCACCCGAGAAAGTAGAAGCACTTCAACAATCAACCAAGAAACGCGGAACCAAAAATGCAGACGGGAGTTATAGATATCAACACCTCCCCGACATACCCATCCCCGAAGAAGAGGTGGTGCCTGACTCCCTTACCTCACCTGAGAAACTCCAGCCACTTACACATAAACCCGTTCCTGTTACCCCCGGGAAGAAACGTGGGAAATCCGTTCCTCCTGCTACCAAATCCCCGGTCAAACCCAAATCCCCAGTTAAAATCAAGTCTGCGAAAGGAAAAAACATTGCTGAAGAGAAGGAGATGATGAAAGCAGAGAAGACAGAGACAAAGAGGGTGACTAGGAACACGAGGAGTAGTGCTACGCCTGTGCCGATGGAGAGTTTGGTGGAGCCGAAGAAGAAAGTTGCTACGCCGAAGAAGGGGAGGGTGAAGGGGAAGCTGAAGGGGAAGGATAAACCGAGGATTGAGGCTGCGCAGAAGTCTTGGAGTCGGATGGTGTAGGAGGTTCGGGGTTTGAAGAGGTATGGCTGTGGGGTGGTACGGTGATGATCAAGGAAGGGTGTTCGGTTTTGTTGGTGTGAAATTTGGTGGTTCTGGATGTTTGGGCGTTAGTTGGCGTTCTTGATTCGATGTTATCGTTTAATTCTTCCTTTCTTCACTTTAGATTCCTTGTAAGATGTTGATGCTTTTTTGCTTATTTTTTTTGTCGTTGGTAATTGCGTTGGGCTTTTGGACGTCAGGTTATCTTGTTAGTTTCTAGTGGAAGTGTTGTAATGGTTTCTTTGTTCAACCTTGAGAACCTAGTATAGTACACTTAATTGATAATGTTATTTGGCTAGTTTTGTTGTCATTTTGATCTCACGTATATCTGAAACCACTTTTACATACTAACCACTCGAGCGCCTACAACTCATGCTTTATAAAATCAATGGAACGGTAGCTTCGAAGTTTCTTCTTCTGCCGATGCTTGAAACAAATCAACATTATTGTATCTTAAATTCGCTTAAGTACATATAATCATACATTTTACAGTGCAACCCAAGCGACTGAACCCAGTAACATACCTAAAGATCCCATTCCCAGTCTCTGAATTCCATTTGCGGCCGCATTACCCGTCGTCGTAGGCGAAGGAGTTGCGGAAGTAGTACCACTCGGGACGGCAGCATTCGCCGCACCACCACTCGTAGGACTCGTCGTCGTCGAAGCATTACCTCCACCATTAGCTTGCGTCGCAGGCGGCGACACACTCTTGACCAACAACCCCTGAACAACCGTCAAAGCACTCAACTGACTTCCAAGATCCCCGCTAGATGTTTCTTCACCACCGGTGCCCGTCCATGACAAAGGACATTCGTCGTCACATACCTTTGCCGCTGCTTCAGCCGAGCTCTTCAGCTTTGGGAAAATGGCGTCTGCGGTGTAGGGCGCGACTTGAATCGTATCGATGAGGTTGTGAGCGAGTAGGCCTTTGAAAGCACGCATGTCGGTGTTACAGCGACCACTTTCCTCGCACATGACTTCGGTGGCGATTCCGCCTGGGAAGAAGGTTGTGAGAGTATTGTTTAAGAGGCCATCGAGAGGGACTTTCCATTTCGAATCTGCTTTGGTGAGATTGTACATGTGTGCGGCTCCGCTGATGAAAGTGCCGGCGTCGTATGAGGGCTGGAGTTTGTTGATATCGGTGCAGTTTTTAGTGGCGTGGGCACCGTCGAAGACACTCCATTTTTCGTCTATGAATCCGCTCGATTTGGCCCATGTGTAGGACTTGTCCGCCCAGTCTGAGTAGGTGGAGTTTCCGGTATACCGAGCGAGTCTTGCGGAGAGTTGGAAGAATAGTCCAGTTGAGATACTGTTCTTGTAGTCGTACCCATTGTTAAATGAGAATATCTGCCATCTCAAGCCACCATTGCAAGTTTGCTCATCCCATCGCAAAGTCATGATATCGAAAACCGCTGCAGCTAACGATTCCCATTTAGGATTTCCCTCTACTACTGGTAAACCTGCCTCCGCTGCGGACATAGCCGCTAAAGCCCAAGTCGCTTGATCATCATTTCCAATTGTAGCCGTTTGGTTCATAGGCATGAAATCATCTTCTCCTTTCTGGAACAAAAGTGCCTGCGTGGTAATCGCGTTGTATTGTGCGTCCCCGGTAAGTCTCCAGTATTGAATGAGTGTGTCGAACATTGCTCCTCCTTCCCACCAGTAATACGGCATGCTCAATAGCCCGGGGATCTCACCAGTCTCGTTGCCATTGTAGTACTTTACTACTCCAGATGCGAGGGCCGAGGCTGCGGTCTTGACCGAGTCTACGAAGAAATTAGGATGGGAGCGCAATCATCAAGCAGAATGCTCTGACCTGAGTTGTCGGCATTAAGTTCAATACCATAAACTGAGAAGGATAGCGCAGCAAATGAAGCGAGTGTGGTGACGCGAACCATGATGACAAGACGAGAAGAGAAAGAAATAATACTCAGAACTCGAAAGACAATCTAAATGAATGAACAAACCGGTCAGGTATAAAAGAAAAGCATCAAACCAAAACGCGCAAAAGAAGGATGCACCACGTATTTGACATGATCCGAGATGAAGTCGAAAATACGGGCTTGGATGTCAGCAAAGTACCCCAACCTGCGGCACGGGTTGCAGCGCCTTGACAACGGCCAATTAGAAGCCTAAAATTCGCCGCCGAGCCTAAAGTTTATGCGGTTCTCATGGATACGAACCCTAATTCAGGGGTAGCCAGAATTGGCCTTTTGCACCAGCCTCAATCTTGGCAGATGAAATAGTTATACGAGTGACACGAGATATAGTAGCTTAGTAATGGTGGTACTTAGTCCTTTTGTACAATAACGAGTCCCTTGGCTTGCTCTGGAATAGCAATACGAAGTACGTCCATCCAATCTTGTTGATTTCATCGCGAGGACATTGCATCGAGTTCGGACTTTGTATCGGGTTTCCTTGACAACAACCTCCCTCAATACATTACGATTTTCCAAAGAATATATACTAAGTTTCTATCCGTTAGTGCCAGAGGAAGACTAACTGGGTAAAAAGGAAGCGAAATGGATGACAACAATCGAACAGCGGAACAAATACACTCAAACGTCTCTTCGACGCCTGACAAAACCAAGTCAGGCGATAGGATTGGCTAACGTTTCAATGATGAGGGGAAATCACCCTCGGAAAGTGTGAGGAATGTTTGATTTCATAATACACATTGGCACTCGCAATCCAAACATTTCACAGCTGAAGATTTTTCCTGACTGTCTAAATTTTCAAGACTGTTTGAGATCTACAAGCGTGTGGTCTTTTTATCACCCCATTCGAATTATAAGCCAGAAGGTCTACTCTTTCAATTCGCTGTTCCCGGAATTAATACTCGTTCTTCCTCAATCTTGTCTGTGTCTGAAGTTCTGAACTCTCCATTTCGGTGCTATCCTACTATTTTCTCTAAACTACAAGCTTCAAATGATGACCTGGAAAGTTATACTTTGTCTGCGTATAGGAAGCGTACGATTTATTTACCTTGGACAACATGAAGTACGAGGATTGTTAACGAAAAGTATGAAGTCGGACGAGGAAACATACTTTTTGCCCCAAATGGGAGCGGTTAAAACTTAGGCAACTGTCTCCGTCACGTTTCATACACTTCATTTCGTACTAAGAGGTGTAAAAGCGAATCTGGACCCAAACTTTTGTCCATACCAACACGGCGTCGGTTAGTCAGAAGAGAAAAGAAGTCAAAACAACCTCGACGGAGAAGCACCATGAGCACCATTTCTGGACGCTGACATTCTGATCGCAGAAGTCAGATGCTTTGCATTTTCGACAATGGTCGTTCAAGTTTGGGATTACTTCAATACACAAAAGTCTGTCATTCCTCTTCCAAGTGAGACGGAAAATTTGCCCCTTTTTATCGCGAGGTCTCATTGGTCATAGGAGCGTTTAGCGAGAGTAAGTCGTGGCTCTAACAATTTAGTGTACCATCAAATGCACACTTAGTGTAGCACTAGTACAACAGACGTGTATTTATCAAGTCCGGAGCGATTTTAGCTTCGGCTTCACGATTTCAAAACACAGCGGTCACCATCTATGATTCTTCTTCTGGATAACATGATATCTGCTTGACCAGGGCAATTGCACCTGCTTTGGCAGTGTTGCAATAATTTGGGTTCGTTCTCAAATATTATTAATATTTATATGTATAAATACAGCCACATAAATTCAACATGGGGCAATTCAAAAATCTACCTACCGAGGTCATCCAGGCAGTCATCGACAACGTCCTCTCAGCCATGGAGTTCGAAGAAGCACTCCTACTAAGAGCGACCTGCAGTACATATCTCCCATCTTCTATCGCGCTTATGCCTCTAACCATCACCAGAAATCTTCGACCAAACAATCCTTTACCGCCTCTACAGGAACGGCCCCCCATTTGTACCACCATCCGTGGAAGTCAACCAGCTAAAATGTGTAAAGCCCCCAAAAGACAAATGGATTCGCACGCGTCCCTTCATCTCCGCCAGACTAATGGCCGGCTTTCTGTTTTCTCAATTTGAGAAAAACAAGGATACGGAAAATTCCATCATGAACGTGATCAAGCGCGCCGTCGACCATCTTGAGGATGGCGGTGTCTCACTCAATCCAGAGGCTCGACGAATCCGGATCTACGCCCTTTGCGAAGCTCTGGCGCGGAGCTGTCAAGCTGAGAAATGCATTAGTCTGGCAACGGTCCGGCGGGTTCCATGCATGGATCATGAATATGCGCTTCTGGAGTATGCACAACTCATCGTGGCCGTAGTCACGAATGACTATTCTTTCGTCGAAGACTGGTTAGACGACCAAAGCCTAGCGACTATCTCCAATATCGAAGGCATCTTCGGCAGTCCACTCACAGCAGCAATAGCCGCCGGCCAACTAGGAATGGCAAAATTACTCCTCAATCACGGCGCAAACGTGAACCACCAAGCCGAAACAAGTCTAACACCGCTGCACATGGCGTGTTCAAGCGGCAATCTCGCCGCGGTAAAACTTCTATTCTCAGCATCCTACAATCTCCGAATCTCAGGAACATCCTACGAACACGGCGTCCGCATGGCCATAAAATTCCACTACTGGGCCATCGCCCAATACCTCCTCGCCAACAGCGACATACCCTACTCCAACCGCTCTACGCTGCGCTACTCCATCTTCCACGAGGCCGCCATCGTCGGGGATTGTTCGGTCCTGCTTGAAATGCTAGATACGGGTGTAAACCCAAACACGAATTGTCACTCGTACAAGGAACCATTCGGGAACCAGACTGCGTTGGGTTGCGCGGCGATCATGGGACATGAAGATGCCGTGAGACTTCTCATTGATAGGAATTGGGATGTTGATCACTATGGCTTCGGTAACGCGTTAGTAGGAGCGGCTCAACATGGTCAACTAGCCGTTGTAGAAATTCTGCTGGATGCAGGAGTAGATATAAACTACGTGGCCTTGGGAAATCAATGGAACGCGTACTCGGCGACACCACTCAGCGCTTCTCTACGCGCGCTTCGCTTCGATACGACTTACTATTTGCTGGGTCGAGGCGCGGATGTAAATGCTGGGGGAAAGGGGGCTTCGTCACTTCTGTTGGCGTGTAAGAGGGGAAATGTACCGATTGTGCGAATGTTGATTGAACGTGGTGTTGATCCTAATGGTTATGCTTCTGAGAGAAGTAAACGGTCTGTGCCTTTGCTTACGGCGTTAAAGAGAGGGCATACACGGGTGGCTGAAGTGCTAATTGAACTAGGTGCGAGGGATATCAATCCGTATATTTATGAGAATGATTGAATACATATTGTTTTTTCTTACTTTTGGTTGGCTGACTCTTAGGAACTGTCATTACACGTGAATCAGTGATAGACACTTCGGATCGAGTTATTACGTTGCCGCTGTTTGATGTCAGGAGTCTTCAGATCGCGGTATTGCAGATATTTTTGCAAGCTCCACCGGGTTATGAGTAGGTTGGAAAGCCTTGATGCGCACTTGCCAAGGGCCATACTCGGAAACATCCCCTTGTGGCGACTCAGTCCATAATAGAACGCCGTCCAACCCATCTGTTCGAAAAACCAGCCATTTACTTAGCCTATTAATATGATTCACGACTCGCAGGCGTCTGATGACCTTGATTTTCTCCTCTGGGACCTATCTATCCAAGGCCTGAGTCAAACGCGGACTTTCTTCTAATTTGTCGATAGCATGATCATAAGCCTCAACCGCCACCAGGTATCGCATTGCGTACATATCGGGTTCCAGCGTATTGTGCACCTCTGCATAGTAGTCAGCCCAGTGAAGCCAAGCAGTCATCCATGCCCCTAGACCTTCGTAATTTTGTAGTCTTTCTTCATCTTCGAAAAATTGCTTGAAAATTTCGTTGATGATTGTCCACCTTTCTATGGTCATCAGCTCCACGCGCATACGGTAACGCTTCCTAAACTCGTTCATGGAGATTCCCATAAGGCTCGCAGCGATGCACAAGTCTTGCCGACCTTTGAAATCTCCCTGGCGAAGTAGATTAGTCCCGCGTCTAAGCAGGTCCTTTACTTCAGCCAGGATTTTGCCATCATCACCGAAGGTCGGAAAAGGCCTTACATTCCTAGGGGCTAGGCTGCGATCGATGGCCGTTCGGGATGGAAGTATCAATTCGTAATGTGCATGGTAACCCTCGAATTGACTTTCGTTGGGAACTTCTCTCCAAGACGAGCTAGGGATCAACTGCTGTGAGAACAATAAAACTAGTCGTTTAGCTGTTGCAAGGTCGCTTCTCAGAAATCTGCTGTTCGGATTAGTTTTGATCTTGATATTTAGTACTCGCCAGAAAGATGGAAAATAAGCTCCACTTAATTTGACATTACAGCTATTGATAAGCTGTACTAAACGTGACAGATATTTTGGCATGAATAGTACTTGCCGATTGGACATAGATGTCCAGGCTAAATCATCTTCGGCCTGTGTTCGTCTTTTGCCAAAGATTAGCTTGACCCTAGTCCAGGATTCTAGATTCCGAGATTCCTTAAGTGGAAAAGCATATCGCAAAAATGTGGTTAAGAAGACGGAATCGCAAAGCAAAGCAATGAAGTCATTGGTCCGATGAAAAGCTGCAAGGCTTTCATTGGATATTTTGGAATTAACCCGGAAAAGGGAAAGTGCACCCTTATCGAAAAATATTGTTTCCAGACTACCATGAACTTCTGTAGGTATGTGGAATTTGTTGTACTCCTCCGCATACAAGTAGTCATAAATTGAGAGACGTATTTCTGGGGGAATAGTCTCGAAGGTGGGGCCAGAAGACACACGAACCGCGTCCATGCTGTGACTCGTTGTCTTCTATTATTAGGATCGTGTATGCTGAGAAAATTCTCTTGTCCTCTGTTGTGATTATCCCAGAGGTTACGTTACTCGGCTTCTTGAATATTCCCGTGGGTATTTGGATATCTTGCGAGTTTAAGAACAAGGGAAATAAACCCCACTGGCGTTGACAGGATCGAGTATATGTACTACAGAGTTGACTGTTCTGGAGAGGTACAGCCAATCAGTTGAAATAAAGACAAACAAGACCAATCCTGTTACGAGTATGTCAAATAAAATGACAAAGACGCCGAAAATGGGGGTTTCCCCAAACAACAAATAAAAAATAAAATTGTGGGTACAGCATACTCGCGTTACATACGACAAACTCAGGTTATCATGCGAAGTTGCTAACATCTGCGACCTGCTTCCGGAATCCGTAGCCAGATAGGGGAGCAAATTGGACGTTGACATATTGCAAAGCCTATTTCGAATGCGGTTACTCAGACAAAACCTAATACAAGTCTATCGAATGAAATGAGAACATCGTCTCAAAAACACAATTTTTTCATACTTGCGAAGTGACAGCTCAGAGATAAAACACAGATTGTCATCCCGAGTTCGATTCGAAACAAAGAAAATGGACTCGGAATTCGTGCTATTGGGACACCGCTAGCAACTATTAAAACTCCCACGTTTTCAGCAACGAGTACTTAATTGCGCATTCAAACCGCCGCAGATTTTGATTTAGTCCAAATGATATAATCAACACATCAGATCTGGCAACCTCATGGCATATGAGAGGGTTTATTGGCTCGATGAGTGGTGTTTAGGTCTTCCGAGAAGTTGAAAATGTAAGGCAGGCAGGGAAAGGTATCGGGCATTTGGACTTCTGAGGACGGATATCGGACCAAAGCAACATGTTGGAGAAACTCTGGTCCAGCAAAATGCTGGTATACTGGTACATGAACCTTGGCTGCAAAACTTGAATGGAAGGGGTAGGAGTTAAGGGGAACACTTTCCTCTGAGCGCGACGCCAGGTTTTAAAGATAGACAGCAATGGCTAACGAAGATCCGCATACTGTTAACCAACATCCATTTCTATCAAGTTTCTCATCCTAGATAAGACCTGCCTGATCGTAGGAAAAGCAGTCTCATCACAAGCCCACTGGGCATTGCGATGAGGGCCTTTTGTAGCCCAATTGTTGAAATTGGGTGAGAAAGATCCATCTTCCAATCAGTGTGGTAGATATTCTGGCCAGGAATGCAATCGTAGGTCGCACACCCAGAGCGCAAAAGCTTGACTACTTCGACACACATGATTTGAGCAAAACATTCACAAAGTAACAGCATCACACGCAAAACAGATTCCAACCTTGAGAATTCCACAAATAGGTCAGTACTTCACGTTCAAGACATCCTCAAGCATCTGTTGGTGGCGTAGCTTCTCTGCTTCTTGATAAGCGTCGAATTCTCGCACAGCAAATGAACGGCAGTCACGCTCTTGAGGCAATAGCCACTCTTTGGCGCGTTCGGCTCCTTCACGTTTCCCCGCCCCCAAACTCGAAGCCGGCGCCGCTTCCCAGTTCGAAGTCGCAATGGGCTGAGGGCCGTTCGATCGGTGAGATGTCTTTGGTCTGGTAAAGAGGGCGGATCCGTTGGTATCTCGGCTTGCAGAGCTTCTCGAACGTGTTGAAATCACTTGAGATTGGTGAGTAGCCATGCTGTCTTTGATAGGCACAAGCATAGACGAAAATGGCGGCGATGAAAGCAAATTGATTCGGATGAAAAGGGTAGCGACACGTGGAAGATGCGGGTGGAAAACGGTCGCTATTAATTTGAATATAAAAAGAAGTTGTGTAGGAGAAATGGGTTAATATTTACTTAACAATGATGGTCGAATTGAAAGGACCTCGAACAATCAATCGAAACTAGTGCTTCTTGGTTTGTTGCAATCTAATAATTGATGAAACCGAGATTGTATGGTTGGTTGGGGCTATTAAGTCGTCCACGGCAGCCTAGTGATTTCGATGTTGCGGACGGGTGAGTATTCCTGAGTTGATCTCAGCTGTTCAGAAACCTTCGAGGTCTTCGGATCCCACTTTTTTTTTCGGATGACACTCCGGGATGAAGGGCAAGTGTCAATTGGTTTGATTGATTTTTGTGATTGCTGGCTGAGTAACAAATGATAGTATGATGAGATGCTGTATATGTGTGATCAGGTTGGAGCGAAGTCGAGTCTTCGCTTGGGAGAAGCGTTCCTAGAACGCGAGTTATATACTTTTTAGGGACTAGAAATAGATTGAGAGCGACGGGACAGATTCAATGTAACGATAATTAATGCAACGAAGCAGGAGCCGTCTTCGACGATAATTTGAACGGCGGTGAAATTCGATTTCTCTATTATCAGGACACGGCATGTTACCCCTAACTCGCGGGAAAGAGATCCCATAGGATAATCGACCCTTTGATGAGCAGCGATGTAGCACAGCATGACCAAAGAGATTCGCGTTTTCTGCAAAGGAAAGCCCAGATTGATCTCCGGGAAGAGCATTCTTTGTGTCGTAGTGTATCGTCTATCTCTCGACTCGGCTAGAGGAGGTTTATGGGAGACAGGACATGCATTTGACAGCGCGCCCGGGCTGTAGAGCGTGAGATGAAGAGACTCAACCTCCCCCAAACACTGTGGACGAGACCGAGTTCAATGTCAAGAATACCATTCCGAGCTCGCAAAAGGATCTGTAGGGTTCTCGATCTTCCAGAAGCGTCGTTGCTCAAGCCTATTTTCCTAATCCTATGAGGGCTGGCGGCTTCTTCCGAATATCCTCAAGCCAACAATCCAGCGGTTAAGGGTCCAAACCCACTGTGTGACCTGCCGAATAAGGCACTTTTGGACAAATTTGACTAGTTCCTAGGAATTACTTTTCAGAGGACACGGAATATAAGGATGTGCAAAAACCATGTCGTGCTCCCGGGGAAGCAGGAGTTGCATACACGATTGGTTAGCCTTGGAGAAGGCAAACGTCTTAACGCAGGTCATCGGGATTCTAAGTCGTAGATCCATGAAGGTCAACGGATTGTGTTTGCGGTATACACTTTTTGTCCTATTCTCTTTCATGATCAGTACTCAGTCACACCGCGGGATGTAGACTCAAGGGAAATCTTCGCCCTTTGAAGCTGTGCAGGACGTCCAGGCGGCGAATGAGCTATTAACCATTAGACCGAGATCGTGGGGGTATATTGAGCTTAGAGTCTGATCGCATCTCGACCCATCTTGCTGTCATTGCGTCGTGCGACGAGTCGTAGGTTGTGGAAGATTGGACGTTTACACAGGTCATACATCGTGAACTGGGGTGTTTAGCGTTAATCCGGGGAAGATGTGATACAAGGAAAGAGGGGAGAAACAATGGGAGGTTAAGGAGGCGGTAAGGAGGAGCTAATCACCGCCTCCATGAAAACTTGAATCGTTGTGGAAGTTGCTGTAGAACTACTTTCAAGTTCTGGAGAACTTGGAAGTTGCGACATGGTCGAAATGACGCTAAGGACGTCGGCTCGGGCCGAAATTGTAAACTTGTATATATAGTCAAAAACGCAAAAGGTGCTCAACAAATCACATCTTTGATGGTCTAACGGTCATGATTTCCGCTTGTCAAGCAATTGTCAAAGCGCGGGAGATCGGGGTTCGACTCCCCGTCAGAGAGATATCTCAGAGTTCATGTCCCCAGGCACAGCCTGGAGCGCCTCATTTTTTGCACTTTTGTCCTTTTCATTGCCCATCTAGGGTAAAGCTCAAATCTCTGTAACAAACAACTTTGTTCTGCTGTATGCGCAAAGTGCAATTTCCTCTTTTTTTCTTTGCATCGTCGACAGCGACTCGGGCGGGCGTGTGGACATGATGCAGAACACTGGCAAGGTTCTCCACATCTACAAGTTGAAAACATTTTGTCCTACCGACAAGCATTTGCATTTTGCGCATTTTTCGATTGGGTCGCAAGTATGCATTATGCCGTCTGTATATGCTTTGACAAATGAAAAGATTAGAAAAGGAGCTCTTGCCATGCGACTTGCCATACCATGAACTGTAATACCACACTCATTGAATGATTACTGAGGGCATAAGAATACCCAATATCAATATCCCCCAAAACCGAGATCTACATGGCATGAATGAACGATGAAGTTGAGTTTGAAGTGGAGGCCTAACTCTTACGGTGTGTGAGTGTTCCCCATGCATAATCTTCCTCTCAATGCATATGTTCAGAATATACCCCAGGAATGTCTTCATATTTCAAGATCACTACCAGAAGCCTCTTCATTTGTGAATAATAAACTTCATAAAAACAACACTTTCATCAGAACTAGTATTGTTGTCTGCGGCCCAAATTCATTTGGAGAAGTTCAGCCGTCCACCAGTGTATTGCAAGTCAGCTCTCTGCAGTAGGGTAATGATAAAAATTACCCAGAAGCTATATTAACTGGGTTATCTTTTAATTATCTTGTCTCTTGATATGGGAGTAAATGTGTTTCTTTGAGGACGGAGCGTCGGATTGTAGGTCTGTGAACATCATGGAACATGGATGTACCGTCAGACTTGCAATGCATTGGTCTTAGGTATGAAAGACAGAACAGGAGTTGTGGTTTGTGTCTGATAAAGGTCGGGGGGATTCTTGGTTTGGAGCTCTATTGATGATCACGGTGTTCACCATCCTGGCTCCAGAATCAGAAATGTAAGTTAGCTTTGTATTAGCACGTTATAACCGCTCACAGCATTTCTATCCACAATCCAATCATACATGAGCCAGTGACGAGGGTATATCTAACCCTTTTACAACCCATTCTATCTCTAACGCCTTGAGCATCCTGATGCAATAATAACACACTTCCAGGTTCTATCCGACACCAACATATCTTACAACTTACTGAACACCTAAACAACAGCGTAGAGTCCACTCATCTCGATTTTCAATCCCGTTTCAAATGATACGGTTTCAAATCATCTGAACCTATCTTACCAGGACTCCCAACCATCAAATCATCTCCACTCCCATTCTTCGGAAACGCAATAACATCACGTACGGAATCCGTACCACACAAGACAGCCATAAGACGATCGAAACCAAAAGCAAAGCCCGCATGTGGAGGACATCCAGCGGCCAGAGATTTGAGAAGATGATCGAAATCGTTGATTCGCTCATCACGCATTTTAAGAACGTCTCGCATGACGAACTTTTGCATTTCAGCACTGTGGATTCTTCGGCTTCCGCCGCCGAGTTCGACGCCGTTGACGACGAGGTCGTAATGATCTGCTTTCGCTTTTAGAGGGTTAGAGATGAGGAGATCGACGTCCGCTGCAGTCTTCGGAGCCGTAAATGGATGGTGCGTCGCTGAGAACTTGGATCTACCTCCTTGGCCTGGATCAACCCCGTTCTCTGGGGTGAACATTGGAAAGCCAGTAACCCACAGATAGAGATGGCGAGGATCTGCCTTCAATAAACCTCTTGAAACGGCAGCTTGGTAAATTGCGCGACGGAGATCTCCAAGCGGTGTCGAACCCCCTGAGTGTGAAAGGTCCGAACGTGCTTGTAGGAGAAGAAGATCGCCTTCATCAAGAGTCGATGCAATCTTGTGCTCCTCCTCGCTATCGAGCCGCCCTTTTGGAAGTGAACCGTAGAAATCTTTGATCAACTCAGCGCCCTCGAAGCCAAATGTTTGTAGGCCTTCCAGAGGTTTACGAGGATCGTATATCGAGATACCAGGCACACCGTGTGGGTTCTGGTCAAATATCTGACCTTCAGTGGTTTTGAAAAAATCTCGTAAGAATGTCTGTATAGTTTGCGGGGTTCCGTCCAGTCGAATCTTGTAGGCTTCAATAATGGGATTTTCAAGATGGGTTATCATCCCAAGAAGTTGTTTTGGAACGATATGATCGATACGATGAATCTAATGGTGTAAGTCGAGGTTTAAACGTTATAGTAGAGATACATACTAAACCTGGTATTCGAAGATCCGGCTTATCAGAGCCATGCTCTGTCATGGCTTCATCATAATCCATCCGGTAAAATGGAGCTTGGTCTAACGATGGAAGAGAGAAAGCTGGATGAGTAACATTGCAGTACAGGTCTTTAACGAACTGTTCAACCCTTTTCATCACGCCCTCTCCGTCCGTCCATGCCATCTCCAAATCAATCTAGTACATTTAGCAATAATTTTGTACTCGAAATGTCAGCTGAAGTTACCTGAGTAAACTCTGGTTGCCTATCACTCCGGAGGTCCTCATCACGAAAACATCGAGCGAATTGCACATACTTCTCAATACCACTTGCCATTAATATTTGTTTGTACTGTTGAGGACTCTGTGGAAGAGCGTATGCACGTCCTGCCCTTCTTGTTGGAACAAGAAATTCCCTTGCGCCCTCTGGGGTGGACTTGAAGAGGATTGGCGTTTCGACCTCTGTAAAGTCTGCCAACCCTTTGCGAGCGAACTTCAACACTTCTGATCTAAATAAAATGGCTGCTTGAAGTTTGGGGTCGAATCGGATTTGTAAATGTCGGCTTGTAGGTGGGTGTACACGGTCTGGTCCAGATGGAATGTCTTCGCTGAACGAATTTAGACATACAAACTCCTCTGCAACAAGTTCTACGTCTTTAGCCGTCGCTGGTCCTTCTTTAGAGCCCTCTGCTTTATTCTTTGGTTGGCGCTTTAGTTGTAATGTCCCCGTTACACTGACAGCACTATATAGATTTGTCGAGCCGACCTTCTTCACCATTTCCGGGTCTCGAACTAATATTTGCACATCCTTTCCAATGCCCTTTCGTAGTGTGGCAAATAACAGAGAGTCGGAGAGTCTTCTCGTGCTGACCAAGAACCCAGCAGCGACTGTTTCTGTATTTAGATGATCGGTAATACTTTCGAAGTCGAAAAAAGAGGCATTGGTAGATACATTGTCTTGAACATCACGTTAGCAGAAAACATCTCAATGTAGTTTATGGATCTCAATGTAATTTATGGACTCACATGCTCCCTTGTACTCTTTCAAGTATTCGGATTCGGCAATATTGGTATTGCGTCGCGGCGCAACATCTTTACCATCATGAAAACACCTACGGCTGGCATTGGCTGACGCTGGGAGTCTTGCTGTCTTGTGCCACGATGATAGTCGAGTTAAGCCTCGAGGATTGAGACATGAAATATTTCTTTTTGCATATGAGGTAGCAATCATAGCTTATTCAATTCCATAATCAAAGTACAGGTCAATTCAAGTTGTGCACTGAAGATTCACGATTCGAAATGTACAAATCAGAAAGCTATCTAAATTTGGACTAGCGGCGATTCGGCAAACCCCGGAGCCCCGCAGGCACATTGAAATATTTCCTCGCGGTCGCGAACACTTCCTTTCTTCTTCATCCTTCCAAGTTTTAAACTTGTAAGTACCGCATTTCCCAAAAGCCTTTTTTTCAACTGCTAACGCGTAATTGCAGACATGATGAATTGCCAGCGTGTTTATATGACTACAATTCCGTCTCCTGGAGCTTTCTAACTCTCCCTTCACCGGGCTTAAGTGGTTTGATTGCAAAGGGAGATGGAAGAGTGAAATAAGCGTTCGTCACACCAACCTTGTTTATACACGGACGCGATAAAGGCATCTCTGACCCCTAAAGCTTGGAAGGCTTCCTGATCGAATTTTCTTCACCTCTTGTCGGTTATTGGATGGAACATGGGCTTGGAGGTTGGCTTTTCAATGGCTGTACTGTACGTCTCTCGCTGACGGACCACTTACGATGAGTGATTCAAGGAGGGAGATTTGCTTGGTCAAGTGACCTAGGATTCCCATTGCTTTTGTTTGTTTCGTTTACGTTTGACCGGGTGAGGGAAGCTTTTCACTTTGGAAGTGGTGTTGCAATGGACGGGGCACATTGATTTTTGGATCGGCTGTAGGCATTTGTTGTCATTTAGCTAGACATTTAGAAATTACTGGCGATGATCTTAATAAATTATTTACATACAAGCCGATCTAAAACTGTGATGCGAAGGGTTGATATGCTCACCGAATTCCCGGGTCGCTCCCTGATTTCGTACATATGACGCTTGCCCACACGACCCCTGCGTTGACAGCAGCCAACTCAGACAACTGTACTGTACTTACAATGACTATCTCATTTGATCGTTCGTCTTAATTAACCCCCTTCTTTTATTAATTGATTTTTCTCTATCATGCGGACCAGCCTTACTCCTCGTTGTCGTGAACATATTTCATAGTCGCAGAAACAAAAGGGCCGCCTGGATCGTCATCTCGATAGATTGCTGGCGAGCTTCCTGCAGCAAAGCCGGAAAGCCAGCGCCGAACAGCACAAATTAACTCGGACATACCTCACCTTCTTTGGACGACAGGAGGTTAAAGTTCATGGAATACAAACAACACACAACTAGATTTCTCTGATTATTTACCAGCTTAATCTAGGGTTACTTCTGATCATTTGGGAAGTTGCCGTCTACCCCAATTCCTGGCTGTCGCAAGCCAACTGCTGAGGCCGCGCTCCAAGATGTCGAGTTCTTTCGAGAAGTCTGTCAAGGGCGCGACAAAGATCAAGGTAATCATATACTCTACATGTTATGCTTCGGCATTCCAGATATTTATAATGGGCAGATGCTAATTGATCTCCTGGACAGGCGGCCCCGCCCAAATCCAAGTATGACAGCCAGCATCGAATCTTCATCCCTCATTGCAGACCGGGCAAGGGCTGACATGGTGGAAAATAGATACATCGAACATATCTTGATCGCGACGCATTCGGGCGAAGCAGGTATAGCAGAGGTGTTCCGGGCACTACAGAACCGACTTCGCGATTCGACATGGACCGTGGTATTCAAGAGCTTAATCACAGTCCACCTGATGATTAGAGAAGGATCGCCAGATGTGACGTTAGCATATTTGGCAAAGCATAGGAATATGCTTGCTATAAGTAGCTTCTCTGATGGTGGGTACTAGCGGACGCTGCCATTGCACTGGCTCAGCCGTAATAGGCAACTTCGTGGACACTGTGCTAACAGAGCATGGTAAAGTCCAAACCCAGGGTCGAAACATTCGGCATTACACAAATTACTTGAGCGAGAGGGCGAGAGCCTATCGAGACACGAAATGCGATTATGTACGAGGGGCTGAAAGGAGGTTGGAAAAGATGAGTGTGGAGAAGGGGCTTCTGCGGGAAACAGAGGTCGTACAGCACCAAATTACCTCTTTACTGAAGTGCGATGTAAGCCACCGGACTGGAACAAAAAGAAATCTACAAACGGTGTGCTAATCAAGATCAGGTGCTGGACAATGAGCCAGAAAATGAGATCACTGTGACCGTATTTCGAATGCTAGTGTTAGATCTTTTGGCTATGTTCCATGTCATGAATCAAGCGATGATCAATATTCTAGGTAAATAATTTGTTCTTGTGCATTGAACTCTGACCTGACCGTCCATAGGACACTTTTTTGAAATGTCAAAGCCAGACGCGGAGCGAGCGATGGAAATTTACAAAAACTTTACGAAGCAGACAGATTTTGTAGTGGCATATCTTAGCATGGCTCGACAATATGAGCACCAAACAAGAGTTGAGGTACCCAAGTTGAAGCATGCCCCAATCAATCTTGGGAAGCAACTAGAGGATTATCTGTTGGATCCCGATTTTGAGATCAACAGAAGACAATACATAGCTGAACAAGAGTCGAAAAAGGGTGGGAAAGGTTCAACGAATGGCGCAAGTAAAGCGACCGCAACCTCTTCAAAAAGCGAATCAGAAACAAAAGCCGCAGTAGGCCGTGCATTTCCTGATGCTGAAAGTGCGCCTTCGAAGCCAGTGGCAAAGGGGCCTGCTCCTGACTTGATCGACTTTTTTGAGTCGATAGAGCAGAACCAGACACCAATGGCGACACAGCCAGGAGTTCAACAGCAAGGATACAACCCATTTAACAATAATGGACAGTTTCAGGCGGTCAACCAACCCCAATTTACTCAGAATGGTCAAATAGATCAAAACGGTTTTGCCCAACCACAGATGGGATTCCAAAATACCAATCCATTCCCTCAACAGCAACAGCCCTTCAATACTGGATTTGCGGTCAACCAGCAGCAACAGCCAATTCCACAGCAGCCAGTTCAGCAAATGCAACAACCACAGCAAGTGCAGCCTAACTTCACTGGGGCTGGATTTGGAGGATACAGTCCTCAACCATCGTTCCAACCAGGTGCTCTGTCTCCTATACCTTCCGACTCAGCAGCGAACTTTCAACAGCATCCTCAACAACCACAACAGCTTGGGGAAATGCAAACTGGGGCTCCTCAGACTACAAATCCATTCCGAGCTTCAATGATGAGTCAGCCAACAGGAATGACACCCCCATCATTCCCTCTAAGCCCACCAATTAGTTCGCCCGTCAACTCTCCCATGAACAGGCAAAACACAAATCCATTTGCGAGGTCGTCACCGAGCGCTCCGCAGCAGCAGTTCACGCCTCCATCCGACCAATCCCCGCAACAGCAGATGCCTCAACTACAACAGCAGCAGTCTCCTCCACCTCCTATGCCATTACAGGCTATGCCTACAGGAACTAATCCGTTTGCAAGAAATCTTGCCATGAACAACACAGCACAACGGCCGCAGACGGCTGGAGGTTTGATGCCTCAACCTACGGGCAATACGAACCCATTTCGGCAAAGTCAATTTGTGAATACTGCTACTGGCGTAGGATGGCAAAATAACCAGCAGCCCATAGGTGGTGGACTTGATAATTTAGAAACAGTTCCTGTCTTTCCTAGACCAGCAACTCAGCAAGCGTGGCAGCAGTAAAGGAACGCTTGGTTCTTTCAGAACGCATTGCTTTGCTTCAAACACGAGAAGCGAGAATGCTTCTCGAGAGCAATGTACGACGGCGTTGATTTACTATTTATGAAGACGTTTAGCGGATGATGGGAGAGGACGCGGAGAAAGACGAAAGCATGCAATGGAGTGCCATTGCAATTGCAATCTATAATGTGGTAATAAAGAAGACCATCCCTGTGTTGATATTAGGGGGTCTTCATTATATTGACTGAATTAAAGGCCTGATATTCTACTGAAAGCGGCAATTTCAATACGCTATACCCTTAACTCCTTGTCTATGCTCTGTGATCCTATTTCCCTAGTCTCCATACTAAAACGCCTGGACCCTGAACTGAGAGGGAGAGTATTGTTTTCAAAAGACATCATCAGTGTTCATCTCCTGTCGTAGTCTCCCACCGGCAGCTTCAGCCGCCCCAACTGTACCAATCGTCGCTGGAGCAGCAGGTAGAGATTTTTCAACAACCTGGTCACCAATGAAAATGCCCAAGCCTGAGAAGGCCTCAAACATCGTCCTCGAATAGTACTCGTTCATACTGTATCCTCCAGCCATATGCAGCGTATTATTCTTCGCATTATCCAACCACTCATTCTCATAAGAAGACTGTAGCGTGTACCGCGCAGGCTTAAGATCAAGACCCCCAAATGGATCATACGCCAATTCTGCCTTTGGCGCAACTTTCTTCTTAAGTCCCCGAATCGACAAATTCGACGGCGCACTTCCATTCGCAGTATCCGCAAAGTTCGACTCAGCAAGATTCCTCCTCGCCGAAGATTTCTTAAGTATAACCTTCTGCGCATGTTTCGTAATCGCATTAGCATCCCCATCCCCCCTCGCCAACCGCTCCAACATCTCCCGTCTCTCCTTCTCCACATCCAACTTATCCTCCTCCTGCTCCCTCAAAATCGCAAGTCTCCTCTGCCGCACCGCCTCCTTCTCCTCCCTCTCCCGCTGCAACTCCACATCCTTCGCCTCCAACCCCGCACGTTTATTATCCTCAATCTCCTTCGCGTTCGCCGCACGATGCGCCCTCAACGTCTCCTCCGCCTTGGCTTTCTCCTTCATCGTCCCCTCAACCAAATCGAATATCAAGCCCTCCACCATCTCCAGGTAATCGTTCCAGCTGCTCAGACTCTCAAACTCGTCTTCCCGCCGATTAAACACCGCGCCCACGCGCTTCCGGATATCGCATTCCCGTTCGATTTTCAGATCCGCGAAAAACGCTTTGTGAAACCCCTTTTTACGCAGTGTCTTTCCGCAGCCGACGACGGGACAGGAGGCTGGTCCGCTGGTGAAGATGCGGTCTACGCAGGTTGAGCACATTTTGTGGTAGCATTCTGGGTTGATGAGGAATTGGAGGGTGGGGTTCAGGTAGCGGTTGGATTTGCAGACGGGACAAATGTCATTAAGAGGGTCGTCGGTGAGAGCTGTGGATTGGGATTTTAGTCGCGACATCGTGGGTTATGGTTGAGGGTTGTCGTTGTTGGAGGTGAGGCGGACAAGGCTGATGTCTGTATGCGGGTGGGTGGCGCTAGCGACGAGGCTTTGAAATGTGGAAGGTCAGGGCAGGATTCTAGAACTTTGTGACTTGCAACTAATCACGAATTTCTCAAAATGGCAGATAAAGGTATGTGATCATATTTTCCCTCCCTACCTATAACCTTCCTGTCTCCAATTAATTCATCCCCCTCTACTCTTCGTCTCGCGACCCAAATTATCCCACTAACTCCCCCTCCCCAGAACCAACACCAGCAGAAGAAGCCGCTCTCCGCGCAAAAGAAGCAGAAGAACAAGCCGCCCTCCCCTACAAGTGGACGCAAACAATCACCGATCTAGACGTCAGTCTCGAAGTCCCCGGTAACCTAAAAGGCCGCGACCTCATCGTGGAGCTCAAAAAGAAGAAACTCGTAGTCGGAATCAAAGGGCAAGAACCCATCATAAACGTACCTCCCCCCTTTCTCCTCCAAATTCTTAATCCAATATACTAACGTATATCAGGGCGACCTCCCTCACGAAATCCACACCGAAGAATCAACATGGACGCTCATCCCCTCCGCGAACGGCACCAAGACAATCGACATCCATCTGGATAAAATCAACAAGATGGAATGGTGGGCGCACGTTATCGTCGGGGCGCCTAAGATTGACGTCTCGAAGATCACGCCGGAGAATAGTAAACTTGGGGATTTAGATGGGGAGACGAGGGGCATGGTCGAGAAGATGATGTATGATCAGCGGCAGAAGGAGATGGGGAAGCCGACGAGCGATGAGGCGAAGAAATTGGATATGCTGGAGAATTTTAAGAAACAGCATCCCGAGATGGATTTTAGTAATGTGAAGATGAGCTGAATGAATGGAGGCGTGGGAATTTGTCGAGGTGTGAAATTGTCTAGGTCAGGGAGCACAAAAATTATTTATTGAAAGCAAAATACCATATGAGCTATGAGCAATGAAAGAAACACTTTCAAGTGATAATCTCTTTGAAAATTCATGTGTATCTCTATCCCAGATTTGCCTACGCTCAAGAGCAGATGTGGAACCCCCACGCAGAATAACAACGCCATCGATCACATCCATCGGCAGAGCGTTCTTGGACTTGGTTCATTGAGCTGTTCCAGCGCTGAGGTAATCATATATATGTTTGGTATTTTGTATTGTACATTCGTAATATACTAGTCTTTCTTACTATCCCATAACTTTTGTGGCACAACGCTTTTGAATACCAACCGCTTTCCGTGCAAATCGAGTGCATTTCGAGATTATCGCTCACCCGCAAGACGGCGGCTCTGAACCTCAGAAAGTGCCTTAGTTCCGCTCAGGAAAGTCACCAACCCAACAACCCCAGCGAATGGAAGTGTCTTGAACAAACTCCACTTGTAGTAGTACAGGAAGAAAATACCTTCCATGCAGACGATCGAGCTGAAGAATAACCCGTGCGAGATTGGAGCGGCGGCCGTAGCTTTCGAGAGGTGGGAGAGATTGGCTCCGAGATACGCCCACTACATGACATTAGTACAAGGCCAGAATTAACATTTGGGTGTAACTCACAGTTCCAAACAGAATTGGCACAGTAGCCAAAACTGCAAGCACAAAGAATACTGAAATAACGACTGGTCCGCTCTTAGGATCCGCTTTGAAAATGTGGTTGATTTCCTCCAATTTTCCATATCTCAATGGCTTCTCGTATTTTGGTTGTGGGGCATTAGGATCGGTCTTGACGTTCAAGTTGAATACATGGTTACTGAAACCCTGGGATGTTCCGAAAGAGGCGAGGAGAAGTGTCGCTCGGAGGGGTTGTGAGGATGTGAGGAGTTGGACTGGAAGGTCTTTTTGGGTCTGCAGAGTTATTAGCAACATGCGCCAGTATGTTATCAGGTTTGGCATTTACAAAATCAACTTTGCCCTTCCCACTATCCTTCACAGTGAGAGGAAAGGAAGTCTCTAATCCAGTATCTTGATCCCGAAGGAGAAGGAAAGCTTGGTGTGGCCGTTTGGGCTTGCCGGCTTCTGTCGCTGTCAAGATGATCTTGAGAGTATCTGCCTGACCGAGCTCAACTGGTTTCGATAATGGGACATGATCAGATAATCTGCAGAAACGTAATTAGCACATTGAAATTGGTCGCGGAGCATGCAATTGAGCAAAATTGCATGCGTATTTGCAACATACTTGTCTTTAAATCCAGCTCCAACCCCAGCTCCCTTCCCATTAACAGAGATAATTGCCTCGTCGAAACTCCATGATGAAGCTGCTTCGACGATTCCTGCACCAAGCACAAGCACCGAGGGTATCAAGGAACGGAGAAATCTCATTGTTGGAGATGTTAATTGGTAAATGGAGTTCTGGGGAGCTTGCAGCCGCGTCAACGTATATCACTTGTGAACACCTTTCGGATTACGGTGGCCGAGTTGACCGTGTCGCTTCAGCATGGTCTCGCTTAGGACTTATTTACCCCCCTTTTTGTCCCTCTAAGCTCTTCTCAATCTTTGGGGACTACTGAGCTTTTGTAGACAGAAATATGTCTATATTCAACTTATCCATAGCAATTGGGGACAATTTTGTTTCAATGGGATTTTACAGCCTCATCTTTTTAGGCGCATTACGAGGGCGCTGCTAAACAGTTAACTAGTTTCAAAAAGAATGACCTTCCGAAAACAATAAGATACTTTGAAAGCTCATATCTTCCTGGACATCTTCGCTATATCCCATATATGTTTCAGTCCAAGGATGTATATATAGACAGTATTCGCAATGTACCTACTACATTTATGCTTTTTTCTAAGAGAAAAGATCGCTTGAACATTCTCCAATCCGAAGAACATCAAGCCCAAAGAAATCTTCTGAATTAGTTGATTAATAACATGTTGTATTATTAGTCCAATAAGTATTGCTATCTGATATTCAAACAAACATCCATCCCACTTGGCTTGCCCCGCGGCCCGAAGATGTGGGTTTAGCGAGAGCATCGGATCCCGCCGGCGGAAGTGAACGAGCTTTATCTTTTGCCTCCTTCTTCTTTCACACCAATCGCTCAGGAACATCCACCTTCATCACCACTTTTGAAGCTAGGAGCCCAAAATGCCTCGAATATGAGTGGCAGTTAGTCGCTAGTATGCGGCCAGATTGGTCTACGGTAAGCGGAGCTCAACATCGGTGGATACCGCGAAGCCATGGCAGCCGCAAGGTGGCACTTGTATAAAAGCAGTGATTCCTGATACTTCTTCGACGTTACTTTCTTCTGTACTACAGACAACAACAAATACCTTCTACTACCTAGTACAGTAATACTCTATTGTCATACTCTATAGCATTTGTTACACTCGCAATGGCAGTCAAAGCTCTTCAGATCACGCCTCTCAGCGTCCCAAATACTTCAAAGGTTAACTTTGGTGTTGAAATCGCAAACGTAGACCTTGAAAACCTATCGGATTCTGACTTCCAGAGAATCCGAACCGCGCTGTACAACTCGCATGTTGCAGTCCTAAAGAACCAAGCTGGCCTTTCACCAAAGGCTCAATATGAGCTTACCAAACGATTCGATCCCGCCTCTGACAACTACGGTCACGGCAAGACTCTTGACGCCAAACGCTCAGTCCTTCACCCAGATCTCAAGACTATTCCTCATCAACCACAAGTACAAGTCATTGGTAACGGGTACTACGATGAATACGAGGGACTGAAGAACATCACTCTCAAGCACCCCCACCACGCCAAATTCCACAAGGACAAGATTCCAGAGGCAGATGACCTTGACGCCACCCGGTTTTTCAGATGGCACATGGACGCTGCATTGTACGCGCTCAATCCTCCAAAGGTTACATCTCTCATGGCGGTCAAGGTCCCTGCCGGTAGACGACAAACTGTACGATACGACGATGGTACTGGTGACGAGCTTGACGTGGCTCTTGGTACCACTGCTTTCGTATCGGGCCAGAACATGTACGACATCTTGAGCGAGGAGGACAAGAAGTTTGTGCGAGAAGCAAAAATCGAATATGCTGCTCATCCATATGTCTGGATGAGCCCAGCAAAGAGTCGATCTGATGGCTTGGGAATGATCTCTGAGGGATTGGAATTGCCGGAATCCGATCTACCACCAATCAACCCAAAGGACATCAAGGTCCTACCAATGTGTTTCAAGAACCCAGTCACTGGGAAACTTGCTCTTCAAATCCATCCCAGCGCTGCCAAAGCCATCCATCTCCCCAACGGTGAAGTGATGACGGATATCAAGGAAGTTCGCGACCTCGTTCACCGTCTCCAACGACCAGGAATCGCACCAGAGTTTGTCTACCCCCACGACTGGGAGGAAGGCGACCTCGTTCTCTTCAACAACCAAGGTGTCTTGCACACCGTCGTCGGCGCTTTCACTCCTGAGGAGAAGCGTTTGTTCAGACAGTGCAATATGGCTTCAAGCGAGGGTGTTATGGGTCCGGACGACAAACTTTATTAGAGTTTTGATTCAACTTTCACAATCTCAACACTGAGAATTGTTCGATTCTACTTGGAATTGTATGCTTTATTTCGGTTTTATAGAAGGGAGCATTTACGAACTCGGCGTTTTGGACGCATCTAAGCCTCTGCATGAGGAACTCGGCGTTTGAAATCGTAACAAAGCGTATACCCAGTTTGCTTTGCTTTTGTTATGATGGTTTTGAATTTGGTAGATTAGATTTGAATATAAATACAAATACTGCAATTACATATCATAGCTTTTGAATAGTCTTCTATGGTTCCAACAGTGAAGATTTGCAGCTGGCTATTATCTATTCTTTAAACTTCCCAAGGGAGCAGATGCTCAAAGCCTGTACAATATTCTTCAACCTTAAAAGTATTATTTACTCTTCCAAACAACTAAAGATACAGACATGTCTCATACGTAAGTAAATACCAACGACCAACACTCTGTCTAAAACATTTCACGTGCGACAGTCCATCTTTCTCGCTTAAAACGGAATCGCAAATCTTGGAATGCATGTGAGAGAAAAATCTGTGGCTTGCAGACAAAGCTTTTCACGCCCCGGGCCGTACTTGCATATGGATTTCCCCTTCGAGCCTTATTCTTGTCCAGTCATGTGTTGCGACTTTTTCAATCTCCTGGTGGATATATGATGTGTGGGGGAACTTGGATTTCCATAAGAGTTGGAGTTCCAATGACTGGGTACGTCTGAAAGAATGATGTGTACCCAAAATCCTCGACAGACTGGAAATAGAGACGGAATCTGGCTCCAAAGCCAGCTGGATAAGAAGATGAGCAGGTTGTTATTGGTAAAACAAAACTCAGATGGCGCTGAGGTTCTGCATGTGGTAACACCTCGTTCCTTTTGAAGAATTTCTCCCGGCGCATCCTGCATTTCGTGGCTCGAAGGGGGAATTACATGTGTGGGGGAGGCGAGTCACGGAGATATTCGTGGGGAGATGTGGTTGGTATTCGAGATGATCATGTGCGTTTTGGATTCAGCAAACAAAGAAGTTGGTTACAAAATCGCATCGTGACCACTTGCGAAAACATGTCTCGAAACATGTGAGAAATGTCTAACAATCCAGACTCTCCGAACGAAGCTTATGTTGTATTTTTATTTATTCCAGAAGCTTGTACCAGCTGAGAGCTGCATCGCAGACCCGGATGCGCGTCGCTCAGCCCAGTGATTCGATGACGTTCCCCTGCGGCTGGCCCTGTGACACCCCAGATTATTGACGGTGCCGGCTCATGCATCCCAAATCAGCGGCCACTTTCCGCCGTTAACAACACTACATCTCCGCGACACCAGCACTTATTCCTCTTTGCAAATGACCGGTGTTTTTCTGGTCGTGACCTACCGGAGCAACGGCCGTTATTGATTCTATTTCCTATTTATCATTTCATACTTAGGATTATTACTTTGCTAGAAGAGTAGACACGCGAGCGTTACGACGACCGCGGTTCCATGGAGCTCAGGATAGGATTATGGTTTTGTTAGATTATCTCCAGAAACCTCCTTCGCTCTGCGTCGAGGAGAGTAATGGGCTCAAACAACTCCCGAGTTCGACGCCCGTGAGAGGTTACCTACACGAAAATGACGAACCCTCGACATCGCGAGACCCTCTGTCTCACCGCCCATGGGGACTGCTCAGCCCAGCCGCGAGAATTCTCAGGGGGAGTGTCAGTCTGGTCAATCTACGAGTCGCGGCTTATCGGGATGGCTTGACGGAGGAGGAGAGGGTTGCGGGGAGGAAGAAGGAGGAGATGAGGCAGATCCTGGCGCTGAGGATGAAGAATGCGGATACAATGGAGAAATGGCAAAACGCTGCGAAGGAGTTGGATATTCTGGATGACAATGAGGCTTGGAAATATGATTCTACGTCTTCGGAATTCGACGCTGAACTTATTGAGACGCGGTTGAAGCAACTGGACGAGGCGAGGACGAACTGCGATATCAAGACCATGATGAACTTGGTGCGGACTGCTTTATCGAGGAATCTGGGGGACATGGGCAGTATTCGACTGTACAAACACTCGCATATTGGAACCAAGGATTTGATCGAGCGATATATCGATTCTACTCTCGACACCATACGAGCGATGGTCGATATGAGCATGCGGGCTCTTCCGGACGGACTAGAAACCAAAGACGTACTTGAGCAAGTGGTTTACGCAAGGCAGTCATTTGGCAGAAGTGCTCTTCTCCTTAGTGGAGGTGCTACATTTGGGATGAGCCATGTGGGAGTCCTAAAGGCATTACACCAAGCTAAATTATTACCAAGAATAATCTCGGGAGCTTCGGCAGGGAGTATTGTCTGTGCAGTACTTTGCACTCGGATTGACGAGGAAATACCAGCGGTCTTGGAGATGTTCCCTCATGGAGATTTAGCTGTGTTTGAGGAAGATGGAAGAGAAGATGGAATACTCGAACGAGTGCGACGGCTTCTGACACAGGGGTCATGGATAGAAATCAAGCATCTGACTCGAGTGATGCAAGATTTACTTGGAGATATGACTTTCCAGGAAGCATATAATCGAACACGACGGATCCTTAACATTTGCGTATCTTCCGCGTCTGTGTACGAATTGCCAAGATTACTCAACTATGTAACGGCACCAAACGTGATGATTTGGTCGGCTGTTGCAGCTTCGTGCTCTGTACCAATATTGTTTTCTGCGGCTCAACTCCTTGTCAAAAATCCTGCTACTGGCGCGCACACTCCGTGGAATCCTACTCCCCAGCACTGGATTGATGGTAGTGTGGATAACGATTTGCCGATGACCAGGCTAGCAGAAATGTTCAACGTTAACCACTTCATCGTATCTCAGGTAAACCCTCACGTGGTGCCGTTCTTGGTCAAGGACGATGAAGCTATCACGAAAGGTGCTCAATCAGATCGTCAAGGACCCGGCTGGGTATACACTCTTACAAACCTCGCCAAGGACGAGGTTCTTCATCGCATGCATGTTCTCGCTGAACTTGGTGTATTCCCGAATTTGGTTACTAAAGCTAGATCGGTTCTCAGCCAGAAGTATTCAGGGGATATCACGATTCTCCCACAAATTGATTACAAAGATTTCCCACGCATGTTAAAGAATCCTACAACCGAATTCATGTTACAGTCGTGTCTATGTGGGGAGCGCGCCACGTGGCCGAAACTCAGTATGATCCGAAACCATTGCGCAGTAGAAATAGAACTAGATTCGGCAGTCCAGAAACTTAGAGCAAGAGTCGTATTCAGTCCTAGTCAAGTAGATCTCCGAAGGATGACCACAGGAAGTTTCCACGACACCAGCAAACGAAGAAGGAGAGATAGCGGTGGCGAGCTCTCGCCGGGTATGGAGTCGCTCAGTAAAATACCAAACAGCAGCGACAAGCCCAAAAAAGCAGCCTCACGACCAGGTCTTAAAGGCTCAATCTCACAATGGAGCATCCCGCGACGCTACCAACAACCCCTCCTAGGTCCCCGATCAGTCCACGCAACGCCCTCCCACCCCCGCGAAATCGACCCCTTCAACCTCATGCAACCTCTCCACGTTCCAGACCTCCATATCCCAGATCTTTCTTCAGCAACCGAAACCGCGTATTCACCGCCGACATCAGACGCAGATGTCGACTCGCTTACCGAAGATAGCACACCTGATCGCGAGGACCCTGCGTTGAATACCTACCGCAATGCGAAAAATCAGGCATTTGGGATCTCGGATGAAATTGATTTCTTCTCGAATAGTCAGCCGGTAACTTCGAGGGCGGATTATGTCATGGCTACGTCGCCGTTGAGTAAGAGGGCTGCGGTGGGGATGTCTCCGATTGTGGGAGGTGAGAGGAGGAAGCTGGGGGAGGGGGTGGGCAAGGAGAATGTTCCTTAGGAAAGAGAGATGGGATTTCTTTTGGAGTGGTATTGGGGTTGGCGATATTTTAATAGTGTTAGCATAGGGTTGGATAGGTGTTTTTACTCGAGATTGATGGAATTTGCATGGCAAGGTACAGAGATGGCGTTTGGGTTTGGGTATGGGCATTGGATGAGGGTATGATGATGAGATATGGTTGCATTGAAAGATGTTAGTGAGTTGGGTTGTGGGGGAGATTAAATATATTATAATTAAATTAGAGCCCACGGGTCTGGTAATTTAGAGGTGTTATGACTGTTGCTGTTTCAAGTCAAATCCATTGTTTCGACTCTACTAATTAATGCCATGAAAGGAAGTTGATACAAAATTTAACAAACGCACTCAAGCGGTCTTAAATCTGAATAATAGATATGCGTGAGAAAGATATCATAAGCCCAGATAAACTATGTCTAGCTCACCTCATTCACGAAGAACTCGCTTAAGCAAAGGGGGCAAAAAATACAAGTAAAACCTAGCAGAAAAAGACAGTAAGGGAACAGCATTGGCACGCAAGTGAAAACACTCAGTGAGTCAACCGCTGTTCACTTCTAGAATAGCTTACTCAAAATCGAAATGGTTTATATATCGGATCCGTCTTCCGGAACCACTCTCCAATTCTTTCACCACAACTTCCTTTCTCTACTTCACAGGCATTCTCACACCAGTCATGTCTTTCGCTTTCCAAACCCGCACCCCCTCCGAAATCACCGCCAAGATTCTCTCCGACCCCCAATTCTCCGCTCGCCTCCTGACACCGCACAACCATGAGATCGGCAGCGTCGAGGAGTGGCAGCTAGCCTCCACCCTCGTAAACAAGGTTCTTAGTGTTCAGCGCCGCACGCTGGAGGAGATCACGCAGGAGATCCTAGCGGATAACACGTTTTCTAGGAGGGTGTTTGAGGAGTTAAGGGGTGCGGATCTGGGGACGACGCAGAATTGGAATTTTGTGGTGCGGTTGATCAGGGGGTTAGGTGGCGGGACGACGGAGGGTTATGTGAAGATTATGGAGAGGGATGGGAGTGTGGAGCGCTTGTGTAGGTTGGCTGTTGAGTGGGGAGAACGGAGGGAGGTGAGGATTGTGGAAGTCAAGCACGTTATTGAGGATGCGGAATTACGCACTCCTTCGTTCCTGAGCTCTTCCGACATTCTATACTCACTCTCGGAAAACCCTCTAGATTCCACGGAACACGATAACGCCAGTCAAGAGACGCTGAAAGCCACACCTTCCCCAACTAGCTCTTCCTCCAGCAGTCCATCCTCACACGGCTCCTCTTCCGGCACTAGTCTCAGCTCGCTATCCTTTAACCCTCCCAGGACTACTAAGGGTATCACGACCCTGGGTAATCTGTCCGAAGTCACTGTGGCTTTGAGGAACACCCAAGGCACTTTAGAACAAGAAGCTTCGCGCCATCGATTTCGCTCGTTGTTCCATCCGAAATTCGGGAAACGGGGGTCTGCAATCCAAGAGCTGGGAAGGGATAGCGGTGAGGAGCTGACTGAGCAGGGTTCCATCAATTCAGATATGGGAGGAGGAGCGCTGCATAAGAGGTGGTGGAAGAAGAGTTTTTAGATGGGAGCTACTGGTTGGGTGGCTAGGATATGCTGACTAAAGTTGGTGGAGAGTACTTTTTGTTGTTGGATCAACAGGTTGAGATAACTACTATAGAGTGTGAAACTGGTGAGCAACACCTGCCATAAATAAATGGAGATAAACTTGGAAAATCAATTGCGGTTTGCAGGACGTTCTTTTATGATGATAATGTAACTTCACTTAACAACATCTCAGTCCACGTAAAATACACTTCAACTCCTACACTTCTTCCCGAGAGATTCCTAATTTTTCATCCAAAAGTAACACTATGTTAAATCATCCCACGAGCCTCCTGCTTCCTTCCCCCAGTTGATGGAGCCAAAAATACCTTGCAACTCATTTCCTTTCACTTCCCTCCCCCATGGCTTAAGCGAGTCCCTGTCGCGTGATTATTGATCTATGATCCATTCTACACTTTTCTAGTCTCCGAGCTCCTTGTGTAGCTTGTTTTCATATTAGGGCGAGGATGACGGAGTATAAGTACCCTGGCAAATTCAGAATGAGCTTTCTTTTAGGGAGTGAGAGCTATGGGGAAGTTTGAGCCAGATGCGATTGTTATATACTAAGATGTCTCTTTTTGAATGATCGATTTTTTTGAGAGTAATTTGGTGAGCATGTAGACTTTGCAGCAACATTTCTTTTTCAGCTTGCGTTGTCAAATGAGAATGGATTCGACACACTATCGATTATGGGACAACTTAAGTCACATTTGTTCCACTTTATGAAGACTACAATTGATTATTGTGTTCGACGATGAAGCACGACTGTGGAAATAACTCGATATACAACGAACAACTGCTTCGCTTAGCTGTTCAGCAACTGATCAACATGAACAAGGAAAAGATTCATTTCCGTTTATTGAGACTGGCTGCAACACTAGACATAGCACATTTTGAAGGCATGAGTATTTTGAAGAAGAGGATGATGAGGATGTTTTAGAGAGAATTATCTGGCAGTAAAGTACTGAATTGTTGGTAATGAAAGCGATAAATTGCTTCGCTTACTTGTTCACAACAAGCGATCAACCATGAATAAAAGCCTTTTCGGACTTTCTATCCTCTCGAAAGCTATCACAGTATCAAAATAGTATAATTTGAATATAGCAATCTGATAGCTACATCAAAGTGATCTGCCAACAAACTCCTTACATATCAGTACCACAACCCCCCCTCGCTAGCATCCACTAACATAAACACAATGACATCCCACCCCCTGACCGCAGCATTAGTGCTTATTTCAAAACAAAACAAAAACAGAATATGACAGAGTTTCCTCGCGCGGTGTTGTGCAGCTATACTATTTTAAGCATTCAGAAATGTCATCGCCGATCCAGTCTCGCTTAATCTTGTCGTGGCTCGATATATTTCGACGACCGTATGGCGGGCCGTCCGAAAACTGGCAGATGGAGGTTTGGGGGGGAAGAGTGGTCTGATCGGTATTTTCCGTTGGGGGTTTTGGGTTTGGGATGGGTGGATGTGTTGGAAGGAATGTTGACACATGCAGGTGGATGGAGAAAGTCACTTTGTCTTTTTGGAAGCTCAAGACATTTGTTTGGGGGAGTGAGAAATTTCGAGTAATAAATTCTCATTAGCACTAACGACTCATTAATATCCATACATCCTTTTACCTAACTTTGCGATTGCATCCTCCTCACCTGCTCCCGCAGTGCCTGTTCCCTCGCCGGCAGACTTTCCTCATACACTCTGCGATCCTTCTCAGTACAGATCCCGCATTTCTCGTACACTCTGTTGGTGGTGTAGTGATCTGGATCCATCCGCGGATTGCTGTAAACACAGCGTGCTTGGTATGCGCGGATCGAGTTTGCGGAACAGCGTTCGACAAATATGGGGAGGTCGCCGCCCCATTCGTCTTGTTTGAAGTGGTTGCAGACTCGGTAGTAGACGTATTGTACGGTGCTGGAAGATATTAGTTGGTATATGTGAGAGTGTAGTATGAGGTTGGACATCAGGCGGGAAGGAGATTTTGTATCTTGAGAAATCGAAAGAAATAAGGCTAGGGTTGCTTACCACATGTCGAAGAAGTCGCTAGCTTTAACAACGTACAATGTATTTCCCTAATTACACTGCTTGAACTGAGAAGCTATGGAACAATAATTGAAAAGCGAGTGGCTTGTGATCATTCAATGTGTATGTTCGACGAAAGTTCCAATGATGACACCAATTATGGGCTATATCGGAACGATTTTTTTAAAATGCCTAGATATGTGAGCGAAGTTCATGATGGTCTAATTGCTATTTACCTTCGCCACAGGTATAACACAAACGAAACTGTTTTGATGTGTACTTGAAATCAAAAATTTTAACTGATGTGACCAAGTATCACCAAAAGGCTGATCAATGCTTCGTGTCAACAATTAAAGAAGCGTAGTCTCAATAAGGGATGTTTATTTCGAAAGCAAAAAGGCGACTTGAGGATCTCTTGGCTTCGAACTCTGGGCTCATATCTGTAGGCTTATTTCTCTGATAAGAAATAAATCGGCCATGTATACCTTCGATCCCATATTCAGAGCAAGCTCTCTATATAACCATCAAATTCCCACAAGCCACATTCAATAAACGCCAAGGCGTTCTCGAGATGCGGCTCATATCTGATATTGCTGTCCAGCTCCAAGTAAGCAAATCGTATTGGTGAAACCCAATAATAACGGCATCCATATCCTAGCCAATATCATCGGCGATTTCACAGTATCGCGCAAACGGCGGTCTTACCGCGCAACAAATCCCGTTCCACAGCCAACGATGGCCAATCGTATATGTGATTCATTATTACACAGTGGTATACAAAATCGCCATGTCGACAGACTGTCGGATGCAGTCCTACCTCCCCGAGAGGACTCGAGAGTTGTCAACGTCCGCAGGGGTTCTGCTCATCCAATTAAGCGAGGCGAACCGTTGGCGGGACCACCTCCGTGAGATGCCCCTCTGCAAACCTGCATAGTCAGGGTCCAGTTGTGGTACATATTAATCAACTGGTACTTGGCATCTGATTAAGTGCCGCCTGGGCGCGCTACCTGTTTAATTCACTTGTCAAGTTTGTGCGCGTGGTACTTGATACGTATCTCTCAAGCAAAATTGACAACCCCCACTTCTCACATCACCTATTTAACTTTCTCACGTATATAGCTTTCCTAATGTTTCCTTCAAGTTAAAACTTGTTTTTATTACTGTGTGGTGTTGACTTTATTGTCTGGCCCATTTGTCATTTTATTTTGAAGACCCTCGGAAAATGTCCCTGGTTTTCTGGATCAAATTCGCTTTCCTCGCACCATCTGCCAGACCGAGACGTCTTTCAATGACATCAAAAGTTTGAGCGGTTCTGATAGGCGGGGCTAGTCTGGCTGATTGGGCTCTACTACGAGGGCTATTTCGATCCCAGAATTCATTTTCCGCGTTAGGTCTGCTAGCTCTAGTGCATGCGAAACACCTTTCTCGAATGGTATCAGTGCCACTGGGTGCGACGAAAGGGTCCCAAACAATGTTGGAGCTCACATGAATAGCTTTCATGGAATGCTCTCCAAGACGACACTTGTGTAGATATTGGTCTTGGCTATAGATCTGCCAATCTCCGAAATGACCGCACTTGCAGGTCTCTCTAGCTAAAGTGTTGATTTGCTTTTCTATAGGAGGGGTATTGCGAGCGATCCATTCACGATTTCCACTTCCCATACTTTTGTGAGTACATTTTCTGCAGATGTTTTCAGTGTGGATAATGCCAGGTAGGACCGTGACTTTGTGGGCACCTCCAACTTGAAGGCTATCTAACTCTACACATCGTTCAGAAAATGTCACATGATCTTTGTGGCCGCAGATACAAGCTTCTCTCCTAAGGAAACACATGAGTTTGTCTTTTTGGCAAGATGCTGAGGAAGACTGGCTAGTATGAGGGTTTAGCTTTCCGTCAAGAGAGAACGATGTGATAGTAGGCGCCGTAACAATGGGATTGTCTCAATAATTGTACACGGCAATTGTTTGTGTTCCGTAGAAAAAGATTACTCTGAACAAGATAGATAATCTTGTAAGTGGACAAAGGACTGCTTCACATGACAAAGGAATTCTAATACAGCCAAAGGAGAGTTGGTGATACTCTGGGACTGGAAGATCACAAGCTTGCAAGGTTTACAATCATAAAGATTTATGTGATGCTATTGATGGAGCATTGAATCTTTTATCCAAACTAGTTGAGCAAAGTAGTCGAATTGATTCTTCTAGGTTTTACATCTCAACTTGTTGGAACCTGTTAGTTGAGCAACACAAGCGGTACGGATGAAGTTGAGACAGTTGTAAAAACTCAAATAAAGAAGCTGCTCTGAATGATTGACTGTTAAATGCTTGGCTTTTTATCTGGGGTATTTATCACAAGTGGTTGTGTCCTTCTCTAGAATCTCATCAATTAAAGAATATCGAGAATCGCACTCAAGTTATTGATATAGCTGTGATATAAGACAATTTGGTTCTACTGTTGATTGGTGGGTAGCCAGAAGTCTCTTCCGGATGAGAGAAAGATTTCATTGAGAAGATGACCCTAGAAAATTCCGAAACATCATAAGTGGTGTTATTTAAATGCATAGTAAAGGCTCTGACTTCTACAGAAACTCTCTAGCCGTCAAAAGATCGTGTAGTGCAAAGAAAGACGTATCGAGACAAAGAAAAGTTCAAAACAAACAAAGAACCTTTGTCTGATATCACCCCCTCAAATACCTCAAATAGAATTGTTTAAGCTTATAAACCCCTATGTGTTCCCTAAATCCTAACTTCCACTTACACCAAACACCAAACACCTAGTGTTACTTCATCACCAACTCACAAACCATCAGCAGTATACCTGTTCAAAACCCACAGTTAACCAAAATCAAGATGTGCAAAATCTCAGGCCTAGCTTACCCATGCCACCAACTCGAACACCAAGTCCACGTAGTTACGAAATCCTGCGAGAAGAGAAACTACAAAGAGTCGTTCTTTCGTTGCCCTAACGCGAGAATTAGGGTGCACACGTCGCCCTTGCCATGTCCTGCTTGTTTGGGAGGGCTGCCGAATTTGAGAGGGGTGAGAGGGGTGAGAGGGGTGGGACGTTGAGATTAGTGGGGTAGAAATCAATTTAATCACGATTTTGGAGTTTAAAACTGTAGTAAAGTTGTGAGAATGCAAATGTGATGGAATTCAGAAGTGAATGTACAAACGTGAAGAGAAGTGATTTGTCGAAATTTCTCGCTTAAGAATCGAGTCAAAGAAAGAAGTCAGGGTCCATATTTGCTGAACGTATATAAATGTCGTATTCTTATGAAAATATGTCTTGTATGTGAAATTACTAAACTCACATGTAACCAAAAAGTGTGTCCATGACTTTAATCAATCGACAATAGCAGTTCTACTTCAAAGACCTATCAGAACTTACCTGAAGAGCTTGTCTACTTCCAGAAGAAAGCAAAAACAAAATCTTTGTCCCATTAATCACATTCACACAACAACAATCAATCCATTGTCCCCACGAACAGCAAAAAGACGACAACAACAGCCTCCACACACCCATATCATCTTGTAATTCCCAAACCCATCAACAACCTTTGGATCTACCTCACCTTTGCAGTAATTTCCACCCACACTCCTTCACCTTTTTTTCAACCCACCCCTTCTGCAAACATGTGTCTCATCCTAGTCGAAGCCTTCGCCTGCGGCCACCCCTGTGCCCATCTCCCCGTGGGAGACGCTTGCCTCGGAAAACCAGACGGCGTAGCGGCCATGGACTGTCCGTTCCGCACCGAACAGACACTGAGAAGGACTTTTAATTGTATAATTTGTAAGTTGGATATGACGAAGTGGTATCAGAGTTCTATGTAAGTATTTTTTTTGGTATATATGGGGCTTGGAAGCTGAGCTTCTGGGTGTGCGTGGGAGGTGGTTTTGGTTGGGATGGGGTGGCGGTTCATGAATATAACACTTTTTCTACGATTGTGCTTTTGTTATTGATATTGAGATTTTGGTTAGGTGACGCGAATTGACCAGACAGGACTTACGACATGAAATTGATTATGTTTTTTGAATTATATATTACCAAGACTTGCTTCAACATCGCTTTTTCACACCCCATTATCCATCACCCCACTCACAAAGCCGGCGCATTCGGATCCTCCATACACTGATCAACACGCATAAGTTGCTTCCCCGTCTTCTTCGCAATATCAATAAATTGGGGCAGATACGAGACCGTGCTATCATACAGATAATGCATGACAACCAAATTCCCGCCCTTATTAACATCAGCCTGGAAGTTCGTCAACTGTTTCTCAGGTGTGGCGGTCATGGCCCATAACCAATCTTGCACATCCACGCTCCACGCGATAAATTTGACATTTGGAATCAATGCTGCGAGACGTTGACGGACACGCGCACCTTCTGTGCCGAATGGGGGACGGAAGTAGGTTGATGTGATACCCAAGGTTTTCGAGACGGCTTTGATGTCTTCTTGGATTTCCCAGTCGATGGCTGCGAGACTAGGGAGACCTTCCATTGGAGGATGCGTGTATGAGTGATATGCGATTTGATGGCCACGGCTGAGCATGGTTTTGTAGACATTAGTAAGGTTGGTGCTGGCATCGAGAAGTGGCGCTCCGACGGTGAAGAATGTGACTTTGATCCCAGCTGCGTCGATTGAAGATACGACTCTCTGGGCGAACTCTGGACTTCCGTCATCGATGGCGAAAGCGAAAGAGTTGGGTCTTGTGCAGGCGAAAAGGAGAGGGGCACTGCTCAGTTTGCTTGGTACAAGAAACCCGTTAGGAACGGTCTTAACGATCTCCATCTTGGTCACGACGGTGGTGGTGCTCGTAAAGAAACCTTTCAGCGCAAAGCCAATGGTCTTCTTGCGATCAATGGCGAAGTGAGACAAAGGCACGTAAATGTCAGTTTTGCCACTGTTGGAGTATCTGGAAGCCTCGACGGAGTCCCAAGTGTAAGGATATGGGTTGATATCGGGGTTACAGGTAGGATTGTGTTGCTGGAGAGCAATTGAGAAGGAGTTGCTACCGGTATAAACAATGTGGAGATAGCCATTATCGTTTGGTGTCAGGTCAGTACAACCTCCGGAAATCTGGGTGTACCAAGAAAGGTCGGAATTGCCCTTAGTGTTGATGGTAAGTTTGCCACTTGTTCGCTTAAATAAATTCTCATCATCTCCACCGTGGTAGAAGCCTAGGTTGTTGGAATCGGCACCGGTAAATGTATCGATGACTAAAGCGGAAGGACCAGTGGTCGCTGGAACAGTTGAGCTTGGCTGGACTACTGCAGCAGTAGATGGAACTGGATACGCAGATCCAGTGTTGCCGCAATACACGGCAATTGGACCAAAAGTTACGGGTTTGCTGATACCAGAGAACAGAAGGGTGACAAGATGGTCGGTATCGAGTCCGGAGAACTTGGAGAATGGGATGGTATAGTACTTGGCAGTACCGTCGAATGTCCATCCAAGATCAGCAGAACTTACATCAATAGAAGTTGGGTTATCCGTTGTGCAGCTTTTTGAGGTTTGAAGTTCGATTGTCATGGTAGTACCTCTGGCAGCTGTAATCGTGAGACCGATACCTCCGTATGTGTTTGTAGCCTTGACGCATCCCAGCTGGGTATACCAGTAAGAGTTCGCGTTAGCGGGTGTGAGAGTAAGAGCATTGTTCGCGACAATCACGGAAGTGAATGTATCAGCTCGATCCGCGACTGGCGCCATCGTCCCATCATCTGATGAAGGAAGAAGTTGGGCATTGTAGAAGAGGAAAGTCAATCTAGATTGAGAGGCGAAGTCGTCAATGAGAATGTTTGAGCATGTTCCAGGAGGTGCCGAACTGGTTGTAGGCACCAAAGTCTTCAAAGTAGAGCTGGCGAGAGTGGTTGGACCTGCTGTCGTAGGTGCAATCGTAGGGGTGGTAACAGGAACACTTGATGTTTTAGTCGATGAAGTTGGCTGAGTTGAACCTGATGAGCAGACGAGTTGCGTCTGGCCAATTTCCCAAGCCCCTCGGGTGGAAAAACTTCCAAATACGATTGCCCTGATGGCATTCAAGTTTGCTCCAGCAAAGGAGGTTAATGGAAGACTAATGGTCTGGGTTGCACCTGTCATGCCACTGACTGTCGTGGTGTAAGACTTGTATGCCGTAGTCGAGCAAGAGGTCGAAGTCTGCAACTCGACTGTAAAACTAGATCCTGCCGGTCCTTTCACAGGAAATGTGATTGCGGAGTATTTGTCGGT